TTGTTTCCCCCAGGTTGTACAGACTTTGTCTCACAACAGCAAGGCTAAATCAAATTACCTGCAATATGGGTGCAGAAAATGTTTACAGATCACCAAAAAGGTTAGAAAACGTAGGAGCTTTTATAGTTTTAGACCATTGGAGATTACAGAATAAACCGAATGCACCATTCCTGGACAGACCTTTTATTCACAACTTGGTGTCCGTGCACATTTCACACACTTTATGATAAATTTCCATAGATTTTAAAGACTGCACCTCAAACTATTCAATCGCAGCACACATTTGAACTTGACTATTGCTTCAAAGGGCGCCGCGACCACATCTCTGTGAACACATCTGAACGTGAAAGTGTGTTTAGTGGTGGCACCTTACTTTCTGAACAGCCCTTGTTTTTTGTCATAAAATAAAGTGTGCTGATTTTCTGATAACCGATTGATCGGCATTCCCATAATTCAGTGCAAGCGGGCAGGTTAAATTCCTGGCACATACATTTGAACAGTTTGGACCACTTCTTTTTGAAAGCTTTAGGTGTTGTCGATCACAGAAATTAAGGAAATAAACTAATATTTTCTTTTTGAATTCATTGTACAGATAATTGTAATGAAGGTAAGTAACAAAAAATCATTATTAGTGAAAATCATTATCATTATTAGCTTGAATCATTATGAGTGATATAAAAACTACAGATTAATTAAGTAACTAATTAATATATTTAAGTATTAAGTCTTAAATGAATAAATACATTTATTTATTTTCCATAGTAATTATTGTTGTTACATTACTATAATAATCATTGAGAAATTTAAATTTTTATTTCGTCACTGTGGCCAGCAGTTACAGCGATGTATCACTTGGCGGTACTGTCACCCTGTTCAATGTTCCATTGGAAGGTTGATGCAAGCGGCCACGTTCGCGTTCCCTTCAGCCACTCACAGTTCTTTGTCTTACTGGTGGCATTAAATTTAAAATTTAAATAAAATACAAAAGTTAACAACAGAAAACACTACACATTGTACACACATTGTATACACATTGTATACACATTGTATACACATTGTAAATTACTAAACATTCACTTTATCACACCAAACTGTAACCAAAACTACATGATGATTCAGTAAAATACGAGTAAGGTAAATCAATTCAACTATTACAAACAATTTGTTGTCAAGTCTTGCTAGGAAACTCTTTATTTTTTATGAACCAGACCTATCTAATAGATGTTAAAATAAAAATATAAATTCCGGCTTTGCTCTGGAAGTAGTCCTGCAGTATGTGGTTAACCTTAAAACAATTATTTCAAACTACGTCCATATGTTAAGTTATGCCCTTTTATAATATTCTGCATGAAAATGCCTTTAATTTGACACCTCAAACGTTAAAATCCTTCAAGCTGTTATCTAGTTATGATTGTGAAAAAAAACTGCTTGCGTAAACTGGAACGAAATATTTTCTGAAGAATCAACCATTTGATTGTGGACATTTATTTGTGTCAGGTGCTTGGAGAACTGTTTGGTTACGCCAGACCCAAACGTGCCTGTAAGACTTAGGGTCATTGACCGGAACACAGGCCAGCCTCCAAAGACAAACATTACCTGGGAAATAAGGGATCCTGATGGGAAAACTATTTCTCTTGGAGATGTCATCATTCCTGAAGGAGTTAAACCCTACGAATTAAGTAAGCGAAATTAAAGAATTATTTATTAGTACATATTCTAATATTATGTGAAAACTATCTGTTTGTCTGTCATGTTCGATAATGTTTTATGAAAGTAAAATGTTTTGTCTGTAGTTTGGATTGTATTATTGGCATAGTAGGTGTGAATTAACTTAAAAAAGATAATATATTGAATGAAAATGAGGAATAATCTACTAGTAAATTTTGTTTTATATATAAAGATTTATTGGTAAATATGACCTGTGGTTTGTGAAGTTTTGAGTGTTGTTATTTTGTTAATTCAACAAATCAAACCCAAATGAGGCTATAACAAAGAGTGAGTCATCATCTTTATCATTTGACTAGAGATAACTGTATTTTGAAGCTTTCACAAAAGTTCAGTGTGATCCTGAATTTTATCTTTCTCACTACATTTAGACGAAAACCCAGAGATGTAGTCTTACATCAAAAACCAAACAGGCTTAGGATGGTTCTAGGTATGAAGTACTACTACTACTATTACCACGATAACATTTTTATTTCATGCTATTTTGTGACTATTTTATCATACAAGAGTTTTAACTTGTTAATGACATTTCACTCATTGTTTTTAACTTTATTTTTCAGAAATGAATGTAACTAAACTGAAGAAGTGTGTGGCGTACACGGTGTATGCACAAGGTATCTTTTTCGAATGGAATATAGATTACCAAAATTATTTTTTTATCATTTAGTGCATAACCTATACATACATAAATATCCTATTCATTTACGGTTGTCCCTTCGTCAACTTTGGCTATTGATACAAACTACACATTCTATCCCTATGTTTAAGTTGTCCCCAGTTTTTAAATCAAAATCATAATAGTTGACTTTAGCCATTGACAGATTGTGCTGAAGTTCATTCCTATGTTGTTTCAAATACACAATCCTTTTTACTAAGTCAAACTGATAGAACGGCTATAGTGAGCTATAACAACTGTTATTACCCATCATCTAAATGTCAGCAACAAAAAATAAGGTAGAAAATAGAATGTTACATTCAGTGACTGGCTTCTGCAACTATTTTCTCTTTTTAAAAAAAAAAATGGTGACAGCTGGTCCATGTAGATGGGATGTCTACTTCAGTATCCAATAGCCAATGATGTCAATTATATCTCTCCGCCTTCTTAGAATTTACCTTCACTTCTCTCTTCTCACCATCTACAATCTCACTAATATTTTTTCCACATCTTTCTTCACATCATCTCCACCCCTGGCCCTCCTCTGGATTCTTCTCCTTTCTTCTACATCCTCAGGTCCATTTCCTACAAATATTTTTTCTCACTCTTCACATGTCTAACTGTATTTTTACCTAATTTTACATTTAATATAACTTAAATTCTAATCTCTCCAGCTTATCTTCATCTAAAATATTTAAGTGATTATTTAGTCATTGCTGAGTTTATTTATGAGCACAGTAGAACTTAGTGTTTGTTTTTTTTCATGTAAGTAAATTGGTTACTAATCAGTACGGTCCTTGGTAAAATCAAAATCAGTAGCCATTTGATGATTCAAAACCAAGCAATGCCCTCATTCACGAGCTTTTAAGAGTCCTTGGAGCCTAGACGTTCTTACTCATAAAGCAATTAAATACCCCCGCCGCAGCAAACCTGCAGACTAAGCGAATTTCCATTAACCTGATAGGATTTACACTAAAATGCCTCCATAAAAATAGCACATTTATTTCCTATTTAAATAGAATTAGTTTAACGAATACTTAGGTTTGCTGCAACAGGGAGGGTAAAAAAGATTTTTTTTATAAAATGATAATAGTTTAGTAAGAAATAAAAGTATTTTCCAAAATCGATCAAAATATGTTCATAAACAAGCAAACTACAACAGTTGACTTATTCTCCATAAGAATAACATGGGAATTTTAAAATAACAATTTTTTTGAATTTTCTCCGTAACAATTAGGCGCATAATAACGTGTCAATATACTAAATTATTTGTTTTTTTAAGCTCTACAAAATGGTTTAAAAAGAAATTGTGAAATTTTGTGTTTTTAGGGTCAAAAATGGGAAAAACCTATTTTTACCCCATAAAACCCCCCCATAAACCCCCGTTCCCATAGTCCGATAATGCTGGTTCGCGAACTCATTCAAGTTTATCCCGCCTTACACCTTCAAACCAAATTTTATCAAAATCGGACAAAAATTACTCAAGTTATCGTGCGGATGGACATATATATATATATAGATATATAAAAATTTGAACGAATGGTGTTTTTGGCCTCTGGGGACATCAAAATGAAAAAGTAAATCGGTCCCGGGCTTAGGTCTTACCATGAGACCTACGGTAATAGCTACTTCCCTATAGGGAAATTCGCTAAAAACTACAAAGCAAATTTCTAATCTCACAGTATGCTAGATATTTCAATTAGAACAGGGCTGTGTTAAGGATCAGTGGAGCCCTGGGCAAACCCAAAAGCAGCGCCCCCCTTTTTCCTAGTGCGGGTGGGCGGTGGTTGGGGGCACGTGGGGGGCGCCCCCAAAATTCCGGCGCCCCTGGGCTTATGCCCAGTCTGCCCGTTTATAAAAGTGGGCCTGAATTAGAATCACTTTTTTGGTATTCGAACAAATATTTTGAGGTGGTAAATAACTCTTCATCGGCTGTTAGTAAATAACAAAACTAACAATTAACAAATTAAACAACAATCTTATGGGGGCAAATCCAATGGCCATTGGCATCCATAGTAAATACTACTACATAAATGTAAATAGTAATACATTCAAAACAACAAACAGCATTTCTAATACCACAGTATACTATTTACATCATAATCACTTTGGTGTTTGAAAAAATATTTTTGGATGTTAATTAACTCTTCAGTAACTGTTTGAAATCATCCAAGATGGCCGCTAGCCTCCAAGAGCTCTTAAATAGTTAGCAGGGCAGAGATATTTCACACAGCCTAAGAATCTCCACTAAAATTTTGCCGTAAACATTTGTCCGATTGATTGACAATACCAAAATAGGCCTATAGCATACAACATACTTACGTACAATATACAACATACATAGGTACACACATTTGAGTGTATATTTCAAGATGAATAATTTCAAGGTGTGTCGTGTGTGTATGGAATTAAGTTAGATGGACCAAATGTGTGTTGTCGTTGTAAAACAAAATTGATTGATTTAATTTTTTATCAATTATTACAATGTATTTCTGTTGACATTCATTTTACTTTAATTATACAGATGCTGCTAAGGACAAAATAATACCCTACAACATTGAATACTGCCCTCATGAAATGCCAACGGACGGTAATTGCACGATGACTCCTAAGTCAGGAATGAAAGGATTTACATTGTTTGATATCACATGTTTCGGCTGGCAGTCGGAAGGACCGATACTTTATGAATTTTTCGACAAAGGATCTGACGATATAGAACACTATCAAGGTAAATGCTGATAAACAAATCAACTCAATTTGATTTTTATGTGAAAATAAAATATGTATCATATGGCTTTTTTAGTCAGTCTCTATATGTGTTTAACTGATGTAATAACTTAAGACCATATGTGTATGTGAATTAATGATCACCTGTTATTTAGCATTTGAGTAGTTGGTCAACGAAAGCAACCTTCTGTATAAAGTACAAATGGACGATGGAACTGTCTGGAGGCGTCATGTTGATCAACTACTCGAATGCGAAATAACAAGAAAACATTTCAGAGGGGAGAATTGGATGTGTTTAACTGATGTAATAACTTAAGACCATATGTGTATGTGAATTAATGATCACCTGTTATTTTGTATTTGTTTTGTTTGTATTAGTTTTTCTGTTCACATTAAAATATGAGTTTGATTCAACTGAACCAGGGGTGCCCATCCCCCCCCCTAGACTCATGACGCACCCCCCCCCCCCAATTGAGCAACAGCCCCCCCCCCCACCATAAATGAGGTACACAACAAATGAGAAACATTATTCCCCTCCCAGAACTATTTGTAAAACTAAAAGAAGTTTTATACACTTTTTAAGTTATTGAAAATTCAAACCCAGTTAAATGTATAAATAAAGTTATAGTTTTGTCTGTACATTGCTCAGAATTATACATATCTTGGGTTATTTTTTCGTTTTATACATTGAAGAAGTTTGAAACATGTTTCATCTCAATTGATGTCCGTCTGTCACAGCCCAGAAGGCATTTTACGCAGCATACTCTAAAGAAAACTAGAGTACCAGTACCGATTATGATTCTAATGGTTTAATAGTATTCACAGGATTAGCGAGAGTGTCCTTAGCCATTAAAATATGGCCTCACTATTTTGGATATAAAATAACGGACGATCAAAACCCCAATTTTGTGTGATGTTTCTATGTTTTTTCTCCACGTTTACTACATACATAATTTATTAATAATCTGTTGAGAGGACACGTCATACATGAAATTACGAACAGCTGTTTTGATAAAGATTCCTTTTTCTAGCTGTCACTGATATGTTTACATCAATGTTGTTTATGAATACTGTGTAGGCCCTAACGATTTCCGATCACGTTTGTAACCATTTCCGATCACGTTTGTAAGCAAATCCAAAACCAAGTGAGATTAATAACCGTGTGGCTTTGGCTTACATAACGGGTTGATTTATCACGGGTACTGGGTACTAATATGTAACTGTAAATTAAATTTAAAAACTAGCCATCATCCAGGTTGGGAACCGGATATTCTGTGTGTATCAAGTTGTACTTGAAATTTGGTTACCGGGAAAAGACCGTGAATCAGTTTTGTACAGGACTGGAAAACTTATCTTTCTATTTAACTAAAATTAGAATTTTATAAGTCACCTCAATTTAAGGATTTTTTATTGCCAGAACATCTATATAGCGTTCGTAACCTCTGCTTAACGAATCATCAGCGTCTTTCTCTTGATGTTGATATAACGACCCCCTCTCCAACCCTTTGGAAACATCACAGCTCCTTTGGTGAAAATAAAATGGAAACAACGCTTGCGCCAACAATCGTCTGCTCCGTTTTGCACTTCTGTCTGCTGTGCGCTATGTTACAACACATTTCAGATACAACAGCTGGGGAATGATGATGATCCTAATGCTTAGTAAACTGTGATTGAGTGATAACCGTGGTAACTTTAGTAAGGCTGTGATTGGGCAATGAGTAGGCCTAAATATGGCGACTTGTTGAATTTGTGTATGACTTGAAGAGAAACCTAATAAAGAACAGAAGAAAAAGAAAAAGAATAACAAGATTGTTCTCGTTACTTTAAGAGCGTTTTTATTATCTCTAAATATAATATTACACTTTTTTATTACTTATCTATCAATTCCTATGCTGTGATACAGCACCTTCCGGTACGGTAGCCTATCTGTCTATCATCAGCAGTAGCTTATAACACTTTCTAAAGGCTCCTTTAATATTTTTACGTTATTTATAGCAATGCAGTGTTTGGCTAGAATTTTAAACGTTGCCGTTTGTACAACTAAACCAAGATAAATGATTTGAAATGTATAATAATAATGTTATTGCACAATAATAATGATTGAGCAATATAGAATTTCGTTTATAAAAATGCAAATCGTGACGTTAGTTGCTGTTTACAGCGTTTTAATGGTTTTGTCATCTGTTTTATACTATTTTGGATTAACCGTATTTCCATTACCCCCCCTCCCTTTTAACGAGCTTTATGTCAACAAAGCGTTCCGTGCTAAGTCGCGATGTAGCAATTGTGTCTGTGCCACGCGTTATTATCTTTATCTCAGCATCAGTTGAGCCGTTCCGTGCCCTCCCTCTTATATCTCACGTCTTGCTAATCTTGAATAATAACTTCCTATACGAATCCTAAACTATCCTAAAATCCTATTTTAACTAATTGAATTCAATAACATAACTTTTGTCATTAACTAATCGACTTTCTATCTGGTGACTTTGTAATATATGTTTGATTGTCGTCACGTTGAACACTGTTTCAATTAACTTTAGCCAGCCCCCCCCCAATTGAAATTTTTGCAGAGCCCCCCAAGAATTTCAATGACGCAGTCTGCGTCACAGCCCCCCCTTGTGGGCACCCCTGACTGAACTAATTTACTTATTATTTGAAAATGTAACACTACAATAGTTATACTAAACATATAGCGTGTCCAGTGTCAATAGCTTGGTAAAAAAGCTGTGATCTCATTACTTACTAATACTCATCCTTGCCCTGAAATATGCATCCAGAAGTGTTGGCCCCTAATAATTAATCTAATCTAATCCAGGATAATCAAGGACAGCACTCATCCACATGCTTTATAGTCTTAAACTCAGCTTAACACGCACACTTGTTTTGCCATGGATTTTATAATTGGCTTAACCATCTTTTTTACCATAGATCAATTGCTTACATGGTATAAATTATTACATTCTTATATTTTTGCACAACCAACCTGGTAAGTTTTAGGTTTCTGTCTTAACATAATTATAAAAAGTTTTCTAATGCATTAATGACACCGTGAATTGTTACAGACCATATTTGTTTAACTAATCCATGATTAATTTCAGGTAGAATGACTGGATATTCATATTCAGGTATTTATTCGCAATTCAGGTTGACTCGAGGCAGGGTCGTAATATATTTACTCAATGAGGACGGAGATGGACCTTCTGTCACAATCAATGTTGAGGTAAGGAAAGTCATCATACAAGTAATGCCAATTCATTCTGTGAGCGTTTAATCCCTACCTCTGCATCTAATGTGTTTATACAAATACATTTTTGACATTCTAAAATGACAACTGGTAAAGGATGTTTATAGTTTTACTTTCATTTTTAAGATAGTTTGCCCCTTAATACCGAGATTTACTACAAGTGATTGAGGAGCTTTATTTAACAAAATAAAAGGTTTACAATAATACAATAACAAATAAAGAGCCTAACTATACAATTTCAAAATTGAAAGTTGGCCTATAACTTACAACAATGGTCTTTTGGACCGTCTGTTGGTTGGCATACAATAAATATTAACAAGCATCTTTTTACTTTCTCCCCCGATACATAGTCTAAGGAGAAAGTTTTGTTTTTGTCAAAATTTTTGAGTTTGAGTTCTGAGTGGATATATCCATTTTGGGCCCCCCTGAACCCAAAAAAGTTGTTTTCAAAGTGATGTCTGTATGTGTGGATGTGTACAGAGCTACAGACCACCTGTAGTCCGATTTTGATGAAATTTGGTTTATAGGTACTAATCCATGGTATCTAAAGGTATTTTTTTAATTTTTTTGAAATTTTTATTTTTAATTTCCCCATAAAAACCATAAAATAACGGAAAAATCAGATTTTTTAAAAAATTGCCAGAACTATTTTGATACAAATTTAGTATGTTACAGTCCTTTAGATTCCGAACAAAATGGTTTAAGTCCCATTTCTGTAAAAATTACGGTTCAAAAGTTATTGTAGCTTATGTTATTTTCCCATTAAAAAATCCTATAAAATTACAAAAAATCTGAATTTGGGAAAAACATGGTTCTGATTAAAATTAATTTGTTATGGTCCTTATAATTGTAAACAAAATAATGCAACCCCCATTTCTGTTACATTTACGGTTCAAAAGTTATTGCAACTTTTGTTATTTTTCCCTACAAAATTATCATAGTTACTCCCACCGCTTTCCCATGATAAAGGTTGTTGACAAGCTTATGGGAGAAAGTATGTGTCAGATTGCTGATACCGTTTATTTAATTTTATAACCAAAAAATGGTTTTGCAAGAAAAATAAGTTAGATTTAGTTAATTAACAATAAATTCAATTTAAACTAGAACACCTATAAAACAGAAAGAAAAAAATACCTCATTTGCTCTGGTATGGATGCCTATTGACAGCTAAAAATTAAGAGCAATGATTTGCCATATTAGGTCATAATAAAACTGAATGCCAGAGACTGTGCGAGTCTTTGAGGGCTTAGGTCATGAGTGTTATCCAAGTTATCAAAGCGTTGAACGAAATGGGAAACGCTGGACCAGCTGATCGTAGTTGTAGTATCTTTAAGTGTGTTTGGTTAAATTCTGGAGTGTGGCAAAAAAAAAACGCGATAAAAGTTAAAAGAGTACGGAAAAATTAAAAGAGTATAGCAAAAGTAAGTAAATGCAGCAATTAGCAACTTTCTGTACTATAATCAGTGCAAAGAAGCCCAATTTGTCGGATGAATGTAGGAAAAGCATATATCCCCCCATAAAAACACACTTAAAAGAAGCATCTTTAACACTAAGTGTCTTGACAGATTTGGAGATTGATTATAACATTTTCATAAGCTGACAGCATTATATAACTACACTAGAACCTTGATAACAATACTTTCAAGGGGATTGTAAAATAAGACTTGTTATCAAGGTTTGTAATAACATGTGATTAGGGGTAAAATAATTTTAAGGGGATTTGAAAATGACACTTATTATCAAGGGCGACTTGTTATCGAGGGTCTTCTTATGAAGGTTCCACTCTTCTTCGGTGATTGCAAACAGTTTAAGTTTTAAGTGTTGTTTTTTTCCAGTTGTATGACTTTGACAGAAATATAACGCATATTGAATACTTAATGAATGAAATTGATGATTACATGGGCTACAATAATTATCAACGTAAGTTAATACTATATGTAAATAATTTACAAATTTTTCAATAGATTAGTGTAGTTGAATAAGATCAGACCACTGTATACTAATGGTGGGTATATTGTTGATAGCTTTTTTATATAAATCTGAATAGCAGTATTATATTAGATTGAACGTTTTACTAAAATTTTGTGTTGTTTAATGCTTTCCACATATCAAGTAAATCAAGTTTTATACTTTTATCTTTCTTTTTAACCGACTTCCCCACTACCAACAAAAGGAGGAGGTTCTCAATTTGTTTGTGGCGATGTTTTTTTTTTTCTATGTATGTTCACCAATTTCTCTGTGATTCTTTTACCGATCAGTGTGGTTCCACCACCAAAATAACCAGGAGAGTTTCTATTTGGTACCTTATATATTATGTTTAAGTATAATGTTTGTTTCGGTGAAAAATTCTGAAAACCTTAAATATTCAACATTTATTTTGTTTACATTTGTGCAGAGAAGGCAATAAGAATAAATAATAATAACATTCCTACAGCTGTTAGTTGAAACCATTTAAATGAAGCTACAGACAATTCTTCATGAAACAGTTGCTTCATATTGATCAATAAACTATTTCTTGCCATGGAGCCTAAATGAATTACATCGATAAAAATGCATTTTGTTTTGGTTACTATAAAAAATGAATTTTAACTAACGTTTGACCTGATTTGTGTACCTATACAGTAATTCTGTTTTTAGTATTGAATATTCTGACTTACAAAAACATATATGTTTCAGTGAATAGCTGTATGATATTGACAAATAAAGGTGTATTGTGAAAACCAAAGCATTCATAAAACAGGTCTAAATATAAATTAAATGCAATTATTCCTTACACGACCTAAGAAGTGTGACAGTGCATAATCTCCTATTGTCTTAAAAGTGTTAATTAAATATTTTAATTACTAAACATGCATTTGCAGATGTGAAATGTTTATTGATATTCACTACCCAGTTACTATATCATATCAATACTATTATGCCTGCTTCGGAAAGTCCTAGAGGAAGATGATTTGCAATTTCGACTAGGCTATATCTTGATCAAACAAAACCACCTACATGGCTTGCACCACTTTTAGCTGAACCAATCTTTCATATACATATTTCATTTGCTGATGTGGAATGTTTATTAATATTCTCTACCCAGTTACTATAATATATCAATACTATTATGCCTGCTTCGGAAAGTCCTAGAGGAAGATGATTTGCAATTTTGACAAGGCTATATCTTGAGCAAACAAAACCCCCTACATGGCTTACACACCACTTTTAGCTGAACCAATCTTTCATATAATATTTTCCAAAAGTACTCTACGTGTTAACAACCAATTTTCCACTTTTGAGAGATTTTTTAGTGCTGGTAGCTGAGGAATAACTTTCATATTGTTTGAAAAGGCTTGAGACGTTACTGTATTTCTTTTTATAATGTAGAAGTACATTGATTGCAGGAAACGATGATGTCTGACATTTCAATGTATCTAGAAAAGACAATTAGTTTTTCATTAGGCCTAATGTAATGGACAACTCTTTCTTTCTTAAGGAATATTTAAAAATGTTTATTTTTATACCCATTGATTATGTAACCTGAACAGGTGACCCAAGCAGTTTTAAAATAATAATTGTTCTGTGGAACTTTTGATTGTTTCAAACAGTTTTGCTTATCAAAAAACCTCAAGTAATTAATATATAAAAAATTATACAGTCACTAAAAATCATGAAATAATTTATTTTTGTAAAAAAAGACAACCGACTTCAAACGCTCTAAAAAGAATGAAATAATTTCAATAAAGTAAACTTTTGTATTAGGCAAGCTCATGTATTTCAAGTCGGCGCGGCTCAAACTGCAAATATGATTGAAATTAAATATTGTGTATTTTGAAAATCAATAAATTGTAGCTGGATAACATAAATATATAAAAAACATACTGAACTGTTTTGTTTAAATATTAAAGGAAATATTTTCTTGTATTTTATGTTTACTTCAGAATAAATGTACTATGAAAATAAATAACTTCTTGATCAGCATTGTACGTGTTATTAAATTTACGGAAAGTAAATAAAGATACGTCTTATAACACTTAAAAAAGTTTTAAGTGTTATAAGACGTATCTTTATTTACTTTCCGTATGAAAATAACACACACAAATGTTCTATATGAATAGGAAAATAATTTAGTTTGATATTATGATAGGGAATAGAAGCTAGTTTAGTATTAAAACGTTACTTTTCCTAGTTAGAAACATTTAAATGCGTTATAAACTTTTTAAAGATACTCGTTAATACCGGCCACTATAATTTTGATCTCTGATTACGGTAATAAAATAACACTTAACGCATAACTATGAAAAAGACATGCAGATTAACACCTTTAGTTATAGATAGTCACCTGCAATATGGACACCCTCTTTCAATTTTGTATCAAAAATCATCATAGAGCCGCGCCGACTAAAAAAATACGTCAGCTTGCCTAATACAAAAGTTTACTTTATTGAAATTATTTCATTCTTTTTAGAGCGTTTGAAGTCGGTTGTCTTTTTTTACAAAAATAAATTATATTTTCAATCATTGTTGGGATACAAAAATATTGCAATTTTTTTCATCAAAATATATACCTCTATTTTTATGGCTAATATGTAAAGAGAAACAAGATTATAAAACTCAGACAATTTGCATGATATTAAAATTGCCCATAGCAGCAAATCTGGGGAATTGCTTAGTGATGGTTAAATCTGTTTTAAAAAAAGGATATTGTTGCAAATGGAAATGTAAATAACTTAATATAACAAAATATACACATTACAATTATCAAACAATGTTTAGGTTTCTGGTAAACCTAAAACAAAAGAAGTATTGTGGTCCAAGACTTAGGTTTTACTTGAAGACTGCAGTAATTACCTTCATGTTTTCCAGTAAATGATAATGCATCAAGTTTTATTAACAGATTTTCCTTCCAACCATCACTCTCTTCTGTATGTCTGGTGTACCACCACCTCTGCTGGTAGTGAGTGTGTTAAAATAAACTTGGATTTATGTTTCAGCTGCGCAAGACCTTATGTCCACTCTGGCTGAAATACTGTATAAAGACTTGAACAATGAATACTACATTCGAAGAATTATATCTTCAATGGCCATGGTATGTGACAACACATTTAGCTTTTTAGTACCACAACTTTTAACCACTATGTTCCAAAGTCCATTGTAATTTCCGTCAAAAGAAACACAACCAAAACCATAGATTGAGGAATCGTAACCTTTTTAATACTTTTTTCATTGACTTTTTAATACTTTGACCATACAAAGTAGGTATTTTAAGCCAAGTATGAATGGAGATGAGTGTAGGATTAGTGGCAAGATCTTGTAGTCTTGTTAGTGACTAAGGCCGACTTATTCCTTAGACACAGCTGTTTTAATAGTCCACACAGCTAATGACAACTAAGGGACCTACAGTTTATAGTGGAATTCGACCACATTTTTGCCTTGGTATTAACAAATTGGTCTATTTATCAGGATAGTACTGCGGATAGTCGTAGTACTCAATAGTGCAGATGATAATCCACACCAGGGAGTATCGCATCCACAGTGCATGCCTCCACAATTTGTGACCTCTATTGTTCTGATCTGGTGTTAATGATTTGTGGAATTATTGAGCCGTTGCTCTATCTATGACTAAGACTTTGAAGATCCACTTTTTAAGAGGATGGTTCAGTGGTAGTTATTTGGATGAGTGGATTCTTACAGAGTTCCACCTCAAATCAGGCATATTTTGCTATTTTTTATTGATTTTTACCGTGTCTGTGTTAACTATTGTTTTATAAGAACTAGAGAGTCTAACAGTGTTTCAATAAGAACAACTCACAAATTTCTCCCTGAGCATTTCATACAAATAATGTACATTTTCCCCAGATTGAGTATGATTCAGCGGAGAGTATGAAGCTTGGAATTTCAACAATACTCTCTGTTTTGGTCAACGGAACATTGAAAGGGACATATTCATTGGACGACGTACTAGAAATGTACACTGGGAGGATACTGTTGAAACTCGCCAAAGTTTATCTGAAATATGCTGTAAAACCTGACCATACACCTCGACTGCGGGCAAAACACGTTCACCAACTTTCCAGGTGAAAATTTTACTTCTTTAATTTACTTGAAGTACGTTATTATGTTCTATTACGAAAAATCTGTGTAAACAAGAAGGGATACTGAAATACAGCAAAGTAAATAATATTTTCTTACTTCATTTTATTAATTGTGGATTATAATAAACTATTGTAAGATTTCAATATTACATTAAAAAATTAGAAATTATATTCTTTTCAAAGATTATTTAATATTAAAAAATATTATCTTTTTAAATTATTAGTGGATTATTTTAAATTGAACATCTTTAAAATTCAATAGTAGTTAAGGTCATGTAAATTAGGAATTCAACGCCAATTAATTTTTCAATTTTTGAGATGACCAACAAATTAACAAAAGCGAAGAGTAGAGAAAGAGTTCTTGAGCCCATGCGTATCCCAGTCTTCACTCTAATTGACACATTCTATAATACCTCAAACCAAACCTGGATGCCTCAAAATTCATTATTTCTCAAAGTTTTTAACTGACACATAAAAACTCTACAGTCAACAGTCCATAGAGAAATAATACCTCTGTAAATTAAAGAGTTTAAAGTTTAAAGCATTTTAGATAATAAATCAAATGATTTATTATTTCTTCAGATGAGGTAGTGCTTTGTCACTGGATTGAGAAGTTATTTGAAACTTTTTTATCATGATAATGTGATTGATAATTTAGGTTACATGCTAGTATCCTTATTACTAATCATTTACTTAGTGCAAATAATATTGTAATTACATAGGAGAAAGTTTTATTCTAAGTGCTTAACAAGTTTTGAAGAATTTTCATCTCCAACATTTACTAAATCCCACATTTTACCCTAATATTTTATTTTGACTTATAAAATGTTGTTTTATGTTTTCAGAAATATTATGGATTGTGTGGATATGGCCGTTATTGCTCAAGATAGAAACGTAACTAAACTTGCTCCCGAGGAAAACATCAGCTATGATGTGTACGACAATGTTCGTAACCTAAAATATTATTTTTCAATTAATTCTTGACATATTCATTGGTAATTTACAAAATCTTTAGCTTTTACTGCACCAGTGCAGTGTTATGTGTTTGTCGGTGTGTAAAAGATATACGATTGACCCTTAATAATGCGGGCCACATTAATACCATCTTTGCATCTGAACAGCTATTTATAGCAGTTTATGAATGTTTCATACATCTACGCCAGGAACCCGCAAGTTGAATAGTCTAACGGTTTATTAGACGAGGCTGTCTAGCATTAGTGCTGTAAGCACTTCTAAAGTCGTGATTAAAATACTATAATCACTCCTGAAGAGTCTCTGGTAATTGATAGGAGCCCAGTCAAACATCAAGTAAACTTACAATCTGCAGTATTCTTTTTATAATCTCTGCAAAACGCAGAAATTTGCCTCTCACCATTGTTCCAATAATAGTCTCCCGTACCTAAGTCATCTCACCAAGCTATTTTTTTATTTATTTTTATTTTTATTTTATTTTTTTTTACTACGGAGGAAGAATTCCGTCCATGACCAAAACCCTCCTTGTCTTTTTCTTGCAAATAATCCTCTAAAATAGCTTAAACAAACCGTTACACCTACAACACAAGTTATAAAATAAATTCCCCATTTCATTTCAATACAAGTTAAAATTCTATGAAATAAACATCCAACATAGGATAGTATTCTTCACCTACCCAGCAACACTTTAACTTAAACTTCATATTCCCTGAAATAGTATTTTTCTACCACACTGAAAATGTAGGTAACTGTTTAGCTTCCTATTGTCGAATATGATTTTATAAGAACATAATTATTTTAAGATAAAGTATGTAAGTTTGTGACCCCATTCATAGAACTGTACCTCAATAATAAAAGAAATTTGATTTGATTCTCAAAGATAGTAGGCATATAAATGCTTTTTACTAAAAAGTGAGCAATCAAGTTTGCTCATTTTGTCACAATCAACTAGGCCTATAACTTTTGTCTGGAAAAGTATTTTTTGTAGGGGAAAATAATTGCTCATTATGTCAAACATTCCTTTTTTTAAATTTGTAGCTAAATGTTGCCTCCAATGACATGGCCGAGGCACTGATGATTTCCATGTATTTGGTGGGTCGAGTTCAGCCTTATGGAGCGGTGGGGCGGCAGATAAGGTCGACAGAAGGAGTTTCTGAAATGTATTCCTACGTAAGTTACCTCTACATAGCTAGATTTTTCTATTCAATTCAGTTCTATAGTACGTACATTTCAGAGATATTCTGGGGTTTGCATGCATGTAAAATGAAAATATGTACCTACTTATATTTTTGGCTTAAACCCACCCAGTTTGACTCGATTGATTTTAATGAATTGATTTGTATTTTACAATGGTTATTTTAGTTATGCAGTTTAAGAACCAAATGTGGTTGTAGTCACCATATAAATTTACTATTCACCATTGAGTTTTGGATACTAGGGTAAACACCATGTGTATGTAAAATATTACAAAATGGACCACCTACAGAGTATGCTACTGTTAAAAATTAAATTTTATCTCTTAGTGCTTGAAAATTTGATGATTCATGTAACATTAAAGATCCTACAGTTTAGAGTAAGTTAGTTGTCTTTTTGGTTTGGCTAAAAAATTTGGTATTTACAACGTAAATCAATAAATAATTGCTGTACAAACTGTCAGTGATTCCATTTCTACCATGATCATTTTTATTCTAAAACCGGTGGAAAGTCTCCTGCTCTTCATAGTCTAAGATCTTACGTATTCACAAATTATCTCTGATGTAATACCATGTGTTAGTAGTATAAAATACGAAATATAAAATTAGTGATTTACAGACAGTATTGAAGACATGCTTTAACTAACCCATTTGATGAGAGCGTTAGTTGAAGTGAATTTAGTTCAGGAGAAGTCTCAAATTAGTGTATTCTTTTTTGAAAGTATATGTTGTAAATGGATGAATTATAAATTCAAAATACATTTGAAATGAACTCTGCCCATTTATTGGTTTACAGGTCAACAATGCAGATGGCTTGGTAGATGTGGCTGGTTCAAATATCACCTCCTATGTTAACATCTCAAAAAGTCTGGCCAATACATTCGATGAAAACCACGACTTAATGCTTCAGGTATTGTAACATAATTGTGAAAAATCAAATGTTTTAAATGATAATCAGGGGGAGGGGCTAGGTAAACTATTATGTGTCTCAATATGTTTTAGAAATTTTTGATAATGTAGTATAATCACAAAAAAAAAAACTAGTTAAAGAAAGAACATTTTAATCTTAATGTCATCCCAACACTAACTCAAATCATCACAACAAAAACATAAACGAACATAAACCATATGCTTTCAACAAGACAGTAAAATAAAGACTTTTAAACATGTAATCCAATATCACACTTCTCCCCCTTCAGATAAAGCTCCACTTCTCTTACAGTCTTACGTAGTTGGTCTGCGTGTTTACGCTTCAGAAGTCCACCACACGAACTTAGTAGGATAGCTCACCAGTTCTTGATGTAATCACTCCTGGAGTCCAGCCGACACCTAGTTCTATCTGTACCCAGACTTCTTCCCCCTCTGAAAATTCCCTATGTCTACTTTTTCCATGGTGATAATACTTTTGTTTAAAAATCTGATTCTGTTATCATGTCTTTAACCGTGGGCTTTAAATTGTCCAATGGAGACAAAGTCTTTGGCAAAAAACTGTTATGAAGGAGGTTTGTTCGTGGACTTTTGTGGCGTGTTTCTGTTTGCAAACAGTAGCTTCACCAACTTTTGTGTTTGATCTTGCCTTCTCGATTTGAAGGTTTTGATAAACGGTTCAACTTGGCCATTCGTCTTTGGATGATACATGTTGTACTGCAGACATGTTTGATTGTGTTATCCTTGCAAAACTTCTCAAAGACCTCTGCAGGGTTTACCCTGTAACCATAATGTAACTAAAATGTACAATGTAACCATATGCTTTCAACAAGACAATGAAATAAAGACTATTAAACATGTGATCCAATATCACAGATACCATGAATAGGTTACAAATTACAGAAAATTCATTTAATTTAATATGGGCTAACTTTTTTTTAGTTGAACTCGCACTTCCAAATTTTCTTTTTTTCAGTTATATGTTTCTGTTATTTCAGTTATATATCTAAACCATTATTTTTTTATCTTTTTTATCTAACACCTCTCGATTTGTAAGGTTGATCACTCTTACAGTTGAACATTCCACAAACATAGATGTGATTTCTTAGCAATAAATAACATATTTTATTGAACATTAATTGGCATACATTACCCCATTGAACATTGGTCCCCAATTGGCAGCAGCACAATTTATTGGTAAAAAAACTAATCATAGCTGGACAATATTAATTGAATGTGCTGACTGCTTCTAAAAAAAGTTTTATACAACATTTTTTACTTTACATTTCATTCCAGTTTGCACCTATCAAGAAAAATCTCTTTTGGTGGGCGCAAAACAACATCAACACCGAAATCATCATGGTCGGGCTGGCAGAAAGGCTGTACAGACCTGGTTATTACTATGTCCCAAAAGTGGAAGCCCCTGTCCAAATCTTCATGAAGGTGAAGAAGATGGAAAAGACTACAATTAGAGGAGTGGCTACCCAACTTGACCCAACGCTAGATAGTGACACACTGGACAAGATAGTTCTAGTGCACCGCTTCATACTGCCACCACTGAGCAAACTATTTATAACCTTCAAGTTTGACGGGAATAGTTCAACTTCGTCTTTGAGGGTGAGTAGGATATGTAATTGTTATACAGTACAGTAAGAACTGAACTAACAGTTGACAAAATAGTTCTGGTGCACTGCTTCGTTTTTCCAGCAAACTGTGATCTTTTAATCTCTACAGCTCAACTTGGTCTTTAAGCATAAATGGGACAACTGGTTTTTGATACAGGCGTACAGTTTATGCTATGGCATTTAGGCCTACAGTGGAGGCTGCTAACATGAAAGACGTGGTGCATTATCCTTATCTGTGAAAGTGCTGCCATTTTTTAAGGCTCTTGCCCAGGAATTGGGTTTTGCATTACTTCAGGCTAAGTCTAGGTGTAACGATATTATCACTTGGATAAAATCCATAGGGGATTGGTGAAATATGAAGTCAGATACTCTATAGGCCTGCTCGCTCCCCAATTTCCTGCACATTGATGACCAAGGTGCAGGATAGGGCGGATGTCGCTCAATAATTGCATAGATAAAGGCATTTTTTCTCCTTCCTTCTCAGAATACTGCTTATATAGTAGCGGCAGAAACATTAGTCAATTTCTACTAAATAAGGATATCGCTATTAAAACAAAACTCATAGAAATCAATTAAGAAATTATCACAACAACAATTGTTACAAACTAAACAACAACAACTAAATTGACTAAAATTTCAGGTATTGATTAATTTTAACGAGCGACCTAACTGGGAGGCCTTGTCTGGAGCTAATGTTGTTTCACAACAAAACCCAGACGTGGTTATTCCATATGACATTGTTGAAAGAGAACACTTCTACTTCATGGGAATCCTTCCAGATAAAAGTGTGAGTATACGTTATCACCACGAGAATCAGCTGTTTATGAAATGTTACTAGTGATGAGTAAAAGTAACATTGCAGGCTAGGAGCAAAACTGATACTTTCACTCATGTTTATTGGCAGCTGATTTGATTAAAATATAAATCAGCAAATTTAGGTTAAAATACATATATATTCCTAGTATTAAAAAATAGCCATACCATTGGTTATTATTAAAAGCCATACTGGCTGGATTCCGACTGATGATTGGCTTATTGATTGGTTTGCTAATTTTATCTATAGCTTTTTCATCTATAAAATTGGTACTAGTAAACAAATTGTTTTTGGGTTTCTCATTTTGAATGTTGTAGAAGTGGATCAAATCAAATCAAATCAAATCAAATTATTCTTTACTTTATTCATTTAAGTACAATTGTACAGGAATAGAGTCAGATCTTACAAAATAAAATGTTTTACATTGAACTAAAAATAAGACAGGATATTTATTTTATTTGTTCTCCCAAAACTCTTCAAGAGAATAAGGGGCAATTTTAATCAAATACTGTTTCAGACAATTTTTAAACTTTTTTGTATCATTTTCAGTTAGAAGTGTTGTTGGAAGATGAGACATAAATTTATTTCCTGTGAATTTCGTTATAATTAATAGTTTCCAAGATATATAGTCCAACAGTTAGTATTCCAAGATCGGTAAAAATATGTTTTACCGAAATTTTCCTAAATTGGATGGACTATTCAATTTAATGTCTATAAGGTACATACGTTAACGTCATCAGTAACAATGAGGTAGTTGTAAAAATTAATTGAATTAATGAATTGTAATTAATTTTAGTAATTTTTATGTTATATTTTAGGTTCCAGTAAATTCCACCGTTGACTATTCTTTTGATCTTCATTTTGTGAATTGCCATATCTGGGAAAATCAGTGGATTAATCATTATTGTTTGGTAAGTAAATCGCTTCTACTTTTCAAATGCTTGATTGCAAAGGGTATCATCTTTGACCGATAAGTCAATGGTATCATAATGAATAATCACTAGAGGTTGACTTTTCCTAATTGTAATTTTTATACAAAAAACAAAACAAATAATACTAAAAATATTAATTTAGTGACCAAATCAATACATTCAAGCAGTGTTTGGTTGGTACCGGTAATACACTACTGGCAACTTCCACTTGGTTGGCAAAAGCCAAATTATCTTTATCTAACAATATGCTATAGGTATATAACTAATCGTCTCTTGTTTTTAGTTTTTCCAATTAACAAATTCAAGTAACTTTGTGTTGTCAAAACTACTCGTATATTATGTGAAGAAGGCCACCAAGAAGCTTAGTATTCCTCGTGGTGAAAATTCAGTATTAATCAAAGTTTTGTTTGCGTTTGTATTTTTATTTTCATCATCATCTTTTGAGGAACGAAACCTTGAAAGATATTTAGGCAGATCAAGTTTTAACTAGTTGTGCTAAATTTTGATAAGCGCAAAACAGCTGTAGCTACGATCAAACACAAATTCATCATCATGCAACATTTCCTATATTCAATCTTGTTTAAACTTATATAAATACAATTTACACATTTACAGGTTGGACCAAAAACATCGGAAGAGACAGTTGAATGTCAGTGCACTCACATGTCGATATTTTCAAGTTCAATTTTCGTTCCGCCAAACGACATCAATCCCATTTTAGACGCACCTCTATTCCTCACAGTTCCAGAAAATCCTTATGTGGTAATTTTTGTGATTGTTATCCTTCTTTTGTTTCTGCTGCTACTCTTGTGGGCTTATCGAAAAGATCGGAAGGACGCACTTTGTGTAAGTATTTTTAATGAGCTACAATAACTATTATATCAAATCAAATAATTTTATTGAGCTAAAAAGTTGACAATACATTGCATTATGTATTGTATAAATAATTTGTTTGATTTTAAACACACCTAAATGTGTACAAGGATGTCAAAAACCATTATTTCTTTAAGACAATGTGTTTTGATGCATTAAAAGACAGTTTTCAACACCACCATTACTTTAGCTACTAACTTATTTTTCTTATCAAAATATTTTAGTGGACTTTTTTCAGTTCAAAATTATTTCCTGAAAGTCATATCTTTAAAACATTATTCCAGTTTCTGTATATTGCACAAATATAACAGTGCATTAATTTTCATAAACTTATTCCCAGTCCCCACACTCAGATCACAGTATATTTTAGTAAATAATTATGATTTGTAAATTAATAAGCTGTTTTGTGTGTTTCAGGGAATTAAATACAGTCTTGATGACTATCCAACCTTGTGGTTATTTGGCCATGTTGTTATCCGACCCTGCCTGTGGACGATAAAGTACTGTCGCTAATAACTTCCTTTTTGTCCTAGAGCGATGTCATCGTACTCCATGACAATTTCCCTGGAGAGAGCTATGCCTATTTGATCGCTGTATTCACTGGGTCTCGTCTGACGGCAGGAACTTCTGCTGTTGTTGGCCTTCGTCTTTATGGAGACACCTACGCCACTCGGGTAAGCAAAGTTTTGAGGGCACCTATTGATGAAATCAGCTTAGGGTGTGTAACAAAAAACAACATAATGCCAATACTGAGTGACTAGAGTGCAAGTTGGTCTAGTGGTGCTTTAGTTCTGATTATTGGGCTTTTTATAAATGGTCCTGACTATCATGTCTTATGTTAACTATAAGAGGCGGGCCAAAGCTTCAAAGCGCTTCATCCAAATCTTTTAATCTTTGTATACCCCAATAGACAATAGACAATAGACAAAGATCTTTATTTACATATCCGTTGAGAACAGTACATGCGTCAGAATAATTAAAATTTGTTGATTTAATATGTTGTTAAAGCTGGTTGTCAAGGAATTCTTTTTCTGAGTAGAATGGCCTTTCTTGCAGCCATGTTGTTAATTGGTTCTTGAAACGGTGAGTTGGTTAATTTCTAAGTTGTTCTGGTAGGTTGTTGAAATACAGGGCCCCTTTGTAGGATGGCTTCTTTTCAAAGAGACTTAGATGGTGAGGTGGTATTGCAAAGCTTGAGGCGTTCCGTGTATTGTGATGGTGAATGTCTCTGTTTCTTGTTTGATTTGTGGAGATGGCATGGAGAATTGACTCACGGATGTAAAGTGATGTCAGTGTGAGGATTTTTAGTTCCTTAAATGCATCACGACTGCTTTCTTGATATTGAAGGCCTGCTAGACATCTTATAGCTCTTTTTTGTTGGATAAGAACTCTTTTTAGGTAGTTGTTGGATGTACTTCCCCAGACCACCAGACCATACCTGAGGTGTGACTCAACCAGGGCATGGTAGGCTGTTTTTGCGGTGTCCAGACCACCAACCTGCTTCATTCGCCTGAGGCAGTGGCGGCGGAACCAGGGGGTCAGGGGGGTCAGTTGACCCTCCTGAAATTTTAGGAAGGGTCAGGGGGGTCAAGGGTCAGGGGTTCATATAAAAAATTTAAAGATATAAAGCATTCTGTACTGTATACGTTTATTTTTTCGGCCCAAGAAGAAAAGTATAAGTAGGCCTAATAACAGTTACTGAAGATAAGTACAAAGATAAACAATTTAGTTATTAATAATAATCTATTACATTTATTATTAAGGGGCTTAATACTCACAAAACCTTATAAAAGTAATAATTAATTTAATTGATGTTCATGATCTATTGGAATTTTGGAGAGTTAACTAACAGGTAACACTTGAATTTCGCACTGAGTATTTGTCATAGTCAAAGTCGGAACTTAAGTATGTACCGTACGGTATTTTCGCCTAAAATATGATAATTATAGAGTAGTACGATAATACGTAATACGTGTGTGTATTATTTATTATAATGTTTTTATAATGACAGAGTAGCGTCTTTGTTAAATTGTAAATTTTCTTTGTTACTGCTTGAAGAAAAATGTTCTTCAGGTAGCCTAAAAACACGTTTTCAGGCTTTTATTTTTCAACATTTTTCCGGGGGAGGACCCCCGGACCCCCCTTGTTCCCTACTTTCCACATCCAAAATTTCCACATTCCACATTCCATACCCCCCGACCCCCCGGATGTGGACCTCCACCATAGGTTTCTGACCCCCTAACAAAAATTTGCTTCCGCCGCCCCTGGCCTGAGGACATGAATGCCAGAACGTAGCTTCTTGCAGAGTTGGTTAATGTGCTGTTTCCATGTCAGTTTTGAATCCATGATAATGCCGAGATATTTGGTACTATTTTGTGCTTCTATCCCAGGGATTAATACGTTTGTGTCTTTATTTTTAGTAGAGTAGTTCAGCTGAACAGTTTTCTTTTCATTTAGAGCCAATTCGTTTACTGTACAATATAGTTTAGTCATGTTGAAGGTTATATTGATGTTTCGGTTTAAAGTTTCCGTTGATTTGTCAGTTAGTGTGATGACAGTGTCATCTGCATACATTGTGGTTTGGCAGTATTCTTGTAGCTGGTCTGGTAGGTCATTTGTGAGGAGGAGGAACAGGACTGGTCCGAGAACTGATCCCTGTGGTACTCCTCTCCGTATAGGGACAGTTTCGGAATGTATTTTATGGCGAGTGTTTTTTTCTACATGCTGAATCTCAACTAGTTGCTGTCTGCCATTAAGATAGCTGTGGAACCATTGTTTAGACTTTCCCTCAATACCCAGAGCTCCCAATTTTCTAAGAAGTGTCTTGTGGTTAAGGCAGTCAAAGGCCTTGCTAAAGTCCAGAAACAGTCTTGTGACTGAGGAGCCGTCTTCTAGTTGTTCTATTATGTGCTCGGTGAGCTGTATTAAGGCAGTGGAAGTGGATCTTCCTTTAAGGAAGCCATGTTGCTGGCTGGTGAGCAGCAGGTTTTGGTCTAGATGGGATATTAGTCTGTTAATGACGATTTTTTCAAAGATTTTAGAGAAGGTCGGTATAAGTGAAATTGGTCTGTAACTTTTAATATCTGTGTTTGGTCCACTTTTATATTTAGGGTATACCTTGGCAGTTTTCAGCTGTGTTGGGAAGACCCCTTGTTTGAGAGACTTATTTATGAGTGCTGTTAGTGGGTTAATCAGTTCATTTTTGCATGTTTTGACCAGTTTGGCTGATATTTCATCAGTGACAGATGAAGTTTTTGGTTTAAGTGAGTCTATTGCTTTTAGTACTTCGTTACGTGTTGCAAGCTGAAATTTTAGTTTGTTAGCTGTTAAAGGAGGAATTTCGGGGGTTCTGGTGTGTGTGTTGGTGTTGTTTGCCTGAAGTGTCCTTTCCGCGGCTGTAGCAAAAAAACTTTTGAGGTGGTTTGCTATTTTGATTGGGTCCTGTATCTGCTAGGAGTTCCCACTCATTTGCTATACTGGTACTTGATTTTCTCTCATTATTTATAACCTGCCAGAGTGCCTTGGACTTGTTGTCGGCATTGCTTATATAGTCGGATGTTTGAGTTTTCCTCAAAGTCTTTAGTCTTAGGTCATAGTCCCTTTTTCTTGCTGCGGTTTCTGCTTTATCTTCAGGTAGACCTGTGCAGTTTTCTTTTTCCAGGGCATTTATATATAGATTTTTTTGTCTAGAGCATTCAGCATCCCAGCAGTTTTTTTGATCGTGTTGTTTTCTCCTTGTCATTTTTACTGGGCAGGTCTCATTTAGTATTCCTTGGATAGCCCTGTGAAAGTTGTTATAAGATTCATCGACATCTTCTATGTGGTAGACACAATCCCAGGGTTGTTCATGGAGCCTGGTTTTAAATAGATTTATGGTGTTTTTGTTGAGAGTTCTTCTTTTCTCCTTAATTGACTTTGTGATTTTTTCTGATGGTAGTTGGAGAGTGGCAATTTGGACAGTGTGGTCTGAGAGTCCAGACAGGATAATGGATGTCTGGATATGTTTTGGGTCTATGTTTGTACAGATCCAGTCTATTGAGGTTTTAGTTTCATGTGTAATTCTAGTAGGCGGCAGATTTAGTCTAACAATGTCAAAAGAGGATAGAAGATCTTCAACTTGGGTGTTATCTGTGTTGTTTGCATGTTCACCAAGGTTGTTTACATTTATGTCGCCCATGATGACAGTTTTTTTCTTTGTGCGGAGAGCATATTCCAGCTGGCTTGCTAGGATATCTAGCGCTTGTTCGAAATTGTCCCTTGGAGGCCTGTAGACTCCCATGACCTGGACTATTTCCTTCTTCAGTTTTATTTCTCTATCACGCACAGGTCATTGTGACCCATGTGATATTTTTATTTTTTGTATTTATTGCTGCAAAACAGTGTGTAATAAATAAAGAATTTTCTCTCTCTCTCTCTCTCTCTCTCTATTTCGAAAAGAGCAGTTTCACATACTAGTTCTGAGTCGTCATCACTTATCTTAAGTACTTTCATATAATTTTCCAGGCCATGTTTGGCATATCCTGCAACTCCTCCTTTCGTATGATTTCTTCTTGTGTAGCCTCCAATTAGGGTGTAGCCAGCTAGCTGTGTGTTTTCTAAGTTTTCTCGGGAGAGACCATGCTCTGTAATAACTATGAAGTCTGGTTGTTCATTATTAAGGAAGTGTGATAGTCTTTCTGTTTTATTAGACAGCCAGTCTATATTTTGGTGGGCAAGGGTGAGTTGGTGTCTGCAAACTAGTGGGTGTTTTGATTGGTTGTCAACACTGTTTTTAGATTTTGTTATGTCGTTGCCGGTGGTTTGGTTGAGGGTCCTAAAAAAGAGGTTTGGGTGTTGCTGGTTTCTGTACTTGGGTTGCTGCTATCTACTTGGGGTGGGATCAAGGTACTTCTAGAGGCTGGGGTTTCAGAGTGACTAATCGAGGCTGATAGTCTTTCCTTGTGTTGGGTATTTATGTCTTTAAAGTAATCTATATGCTTCATGAAAAAGTCATCCAAAGTTTCCTGGTCGCCTCGTATTCTTGCTGTCATAGGTGGAAGCCTCTCTTTTTGAGTCAGTTTTTTAGAAGGAGTTTGGTTGTTTCTCCTGGTCATATCCGGGTTCAGTTTTTTGAAAGGAGTTTGACTTTCTCTCCTTGTAGTTTCTCGTGTCAAGATGTCAGCATCGCATTTCTGTTTTACACCATCTACCTGTAAGCCTATTTCTACATTGGCAGGTTCTTCAAGCCGAGATTTGTTTTTGGCTACTTGGAGAGATACACTGAAATGGTTTCTTTCGTTCCCAATTGGTTTTTTGCTCTTGCTTAGGTTGTGGTTTTTAGAAAGAGGAAAAATCTCTTTAGTGGATGTACTTTGTGTGACTGTTGATAGTATAGCAGGGTTTATTTGTTCACCTTGTTTGTGCAGTTCTTTTTGCAAAGTTTCCACAGAGCGTTCTAGTTGGTCTTGTCGAGTTTTCAGCTGAGCCAGCTCAGTAATTAGAGAGGCACAGTAGTTGGGAACATAAAAATCGGAGTGATTTGTTTGTGTTTCTGAAGTGCCAGTAGGTTTTGGTGTCTGAGGTAGGTCCGTTTTGTCATCTTGGTTTAGCTTCAGCTTGTTTATCATTCCGCCTAATTGCTTAATTTCATTTGCTGAGTCGAGTAGTAGTTTTTCCCTTTCATTATCTTTTTCTTCAAAGGTTTGTATCATTTTAATTCTTAGCTGTCTTTCCTTCTCTAGTTGGAGTTCTACTTCATTTAGTGTTTCAACCAGTGAAGCATTTCGGGAGAGCAGGATTTCCTTGTCATTTTCAAGCTCTTCAATTTTTGCCTCAGCAATGTTGAGATATTCAGAGACCTCCAATGTCCAGGCACCTAATGCCTGCATTGTACTGAACAGTTCCTCCTCAGGAAGGTGACTCTCTCTTACCAGATTTCCAAGATTTGTCCTTCTTACCTCTGAGATCTCCTCAATGTGAAAGATCAGGTGAAAACAGTTTTCTCTGACCTCCCACACTTCACACAGACCCATTTGAGGCAAATGCTCTTTGACAAGCCTAGGTCAAGTAATCAGCTACATAGTTTTTCTTTCTGTTGTCTATCTAATGTTTTGTCCAATTCTTCCCCTAATCAACCTCAGGAAATCTGAGGTAATCCCTTGAGAGGAGTGTGCTTACTTAATCTTAAAAGGAGTGATTCAGCCCATCTCTTACAATGTTTTTTAGTGGCCCATGACACGCTTGAGGTGCACACAGGTGCCTCAGAAGGGTAGAGAACCGATCATAGTTGTCGTAGAAGCATTTGCTAGCCAGTCAGCAGCAATGATACCTTCTAAGCCAGAGTGACCAAGCACCCACAAGGATGGGTTTAGCATTTTGGCGTCCCTAGGCCCTATAATTTTTCCGCCCCTTGTCCTGTTATAGTTACTTTCTTACGTACCTTTGATAAAAACTATATCAGGCCTATATGTTAATTGCTTAAACAATAGAATTGTACCATTGCAAGTTTTTTTAAAGAATTTACATGGTTATGGCCTTAGCCGTCTTAAACCCTTTTAGCAATTTATGTACTAAATAAAGTGTATAATAGGTTACGTACCTTGTTCCGTCTTCAGTCTTAACTTAGTCTATGGATGACTAGTTTCGGGTACAAAGACCCATTATCAAATCCTTATTTAAAACATCATATTGAATATGGTCAAATATCCGACGTAAGTCTTCATCAATGTATACATGCAGGTCGACGACACATAAAATTTACACATTTAAAAAACAAAAGTTACAAATACATTTAAAACTATAGGCCGGCCACATTGAATACGGGACAAACCGACGCAGGTTACACGGCGGTACCAACAGCTATATGATAATCCAGCAGTATTATCGATAAGATAGTTAACAAACAAAAGTACAAAATTGGTAAACTAATTGATAAACCCAGCAACTTTGTATCCGTCGAATTTGGAGCCAACCTACATTAAAAAATTAATTGAAAAAAACATCAAATCACCCTAGCTAGTAAAACGTCAAACAAGCTAGAACGTCATTTGAGCCAATCCAACCATAAACAAAATGATAATGATTTAGATGGCACAGGTGTTTACAAACTATCTTGTAATGATTGCTCCATAGGCCAATCGGGACATTCCTTCAATACCAGATTTAAAGAACACCTACCTAAACCAAAACTGTCAATACAACGATCCAAATTTGTAGATCATCTAGTAAATGCCAATCACAATGTAAACAGTTGCCAAGATAATTTACAAATCTTGCACAAATGCAGTAAAGGTCCCCTCATGAACGTCTTAGAGAGTCTTGAAATTTATAAAGCTAATAAAAAATCCTCTCAAAACGTTTTGAATGAAAAACTAAATTTTGGTTCAAATATTTTATTTGATAGAAGACTTACGTCGGATATTTGACCATATTCAATATGATGTTTTAAATAAGGATTTGATAATGGGTCTTTGTACCCGAAACCAGTGATCCATAGACTAAGTTAAGACTGAAGACGGAACAAGGTACGTAACCTATTATATATTCGAATATCAGTCTTGGTGGCAAAGATGTTTAAATAGAGTGCTGTTTACGGGACTGAATCAAAACGATGTAACCAAAACCGGCAAAACATTCCTGCAACAAAGCATGGCCTTTACAGGTGCCGTAGTGCTTCAAAAATTATTCCCAAAAACATGAACTCTGTACATCAGTAAGAGATACCATAGATAAAAAAAATCCCCCAGTAGATTTGTTATCCGAGCTAAGGCATTTTACTCCATTCTGCTCTCATATTTGACTTAAAATACACCCTGTTGTGTTTCTGTCCCAATTGATAATTATAATACCGATAACAACTGTTGCAGCCAACAGTCCTGAAGTGTGAGACCAGGAGAGTTCTACAAAGAGACAATGATGACTGGTTTCTGTTGTGCTATCCTGTGTCCTTGGGTATCCTCAATGCCGTGCAACTCTGGCATGACAACTCTGGGAGGAACCCCGACTGGTAAGACAATCGGCTCTTTAAATCAGTAAAATTAAATGCTCCCTTATGGCTAACCAGCAGAATATTGACAGAAGCCGTGCTCTAAAACTAGATGATCTTAACTCCTCCGAAACAGGTTTATAGCATAGATAAAACATACCCTTGGTAGAATTTTCATTCTTATGGAACAGCTGAAGTCAATTTTATTGTTAGTTGTACGGTGCACTATAGACGTTGTGTGACTTGGCCTATTGTAAATAATATTGAACGGCTTGGTAAATCTTGAATCTTGTGTTTTGTTTACAATTTGATTCTTGTTACTTCAGTCATTTAAAACCTCGTTTAACAAAATAGTACAATCTAATCATAATCAATAACTCGCCCTCCCTAGTTATCTAACCAAACAGTAATAAGCTCAAATCATGAAATTAGACATAACAAATTGGCCTCAAAATAATAGAAACAAGATTTTGTCGCCACTAGCGCCCTGTGTCACCTTACATGAACTAGACACAAAAAAACAAGCTTAAAAATTTACAATTGAACAAACTTTGTTTTGGTTTCTTGGAAACAAAAAAAGCACAGATCATATGATTTACCATAAAGACTATGTTTGCTTATAATTGCTATTCCCTATTGGGAAATTTACTAAATGTAATGTATACATCAACAAATTAACAAATGGTTTTTCCTACAGTCACCCGACAAAGTTGGCTTTCTTGTACTGTTTATAGTACAGAAAGCTGCTAATTTCTGCATATTTATACTTTGGCACACATCAGGTTTCCAACGAAACAACACAAAACAGCGTGGTTCTATTATATGTACGTAATCCGTGTACGCTTGGAAATAAGTTGGCAACACTTAAAGATAATAATACTACGAGCAGCTGATTGACTATTATAACTACAATTTAACCTGTCATTTCGTGTTTATAGTTTATGTTCTCTTTTCGGTATTTCTGAACTTTATGGACTTTTCTTTTAAACATTTTTAAAACAATCCTACGATCTTAATAAGCAAGAAAATACCTTTAAAGCAAATTTAAGGCGCGGAAACCACTGCAAATTACAAAAATATACGGAACTATTTTCTCAAGTCGCGGAGTAGATTGCTTGCCGAGGAAAACATAGCGGAGTGATACGGACCGGGGACTACTTTAATTCTCTAGGGCACATATTTGTGTTGCCAGCTGAACCTAAAAACGTGTTGTATAGTGTTTGAAAGACTAATTATTTATATGATTTATAGTGACTGTAGGAAAAATATAATGTGTAACACGAGTGCAAAAGGCCTTTGCTACACTCGAGATCATTCATTGTAAACGTTGCTCTCGTGTGCAGAAGTGCCACTTTGCGGGTTTTTTGCATTGCCAGATACTGAAAATCAATTGTTGATTGGTGTGACTCAAGCACTGGCCCTCAGAATGAAAGTTCTTGCCCTAACCACTCATACAGAATGTCTTCTTTAGTGTTTTATTTACAGTTAAAGCTAATACCAAGCATTTACCCTAAAATAATCACTTAATTTATCCACTTCAAAAAAGTTTAACTTATGAATTCATGCAATGTATTCCAGGTACTGCTCAAAGGTTATAGTGTACGACCTACAGGCCACGACCCAGTACCTGTTTGTGATCGACCAGTGGCTGGCATTAGAGGTAGACGAGTTTCCGGAATCGATGGTTCGACCGGCAACTACGGACGAGGTGTTGAGCGTCAAGCGGATTTTTCTGGACAACTCTGTTCTCGGCTTTAGGGAAAATCATTTGCACCTGAGCATCTTGGCTAGGTAATGACGATTTAAAACTTGTTTGTCTCAGTAAATAAGTAATAAATGTTATTCTAACATAGTGTATTATTAGCAAAACTATTACAATTATGACTTCTTGAATTATGATGTGTTCTTGAATTAGTACGTGTTGAATCATTAAGGAATTATCATTCAAACATATTTGTACCATGAAAAACTTATACTCTACTGTATACTGAAAACAAGAGTTGTGAAATAAAAATGACTGAAAAGAAAATGTAAAAAAATGTTCAACCCAGGTTCAAGAATTTGAGTGATCTTAAATTACCACATTTTTATTGTAGCTGTTTTGCCTGTGTCTGTCATTAATAATTTTAATTTTGAAATCCATGTGCTTTATTCATAATCTAGTTCAACTGCGTTTACATTTGTCTGGTTTTCAGACATCCGAGGAGCCCTGTATCTAGAAAACAACGTTTGATGGTCCTGATGGTTTTGATAATGTCAGCCATGTTGGCTAGCATTATGTTCTTCAAAGTTACGGATAAATTTGGTATTACTGCAGTTATTTAATGTGGTTACAATTTATTACTAAGTTAATTTTAATAGTTTCTTCCATAAAAGATAAAAGACAAGCACAAATCATATACCGGTAGTTATACCATAGACTAACCAACACAAGTAGACTTCTCATCCCATTGTAAATTTTGAAGCACGTTTTTCGTGTCTAGTTCATGTACGTGACACAAAGGCGCTAGTGTCGATGAAACTTTGTTTCAATTATTTTAGGGTTAATTTCTTGATTTCTGCTTTACTGTTTGGTTATATAACTAGGGGACAAGTTATTGTTTATGATTAGATCGTATTATTTGGTTAAACGAGGTTTTAAATGGCTGTAATAACGGGACACAAATTGTAAACAAAACACGACCTCTACATAAACCGTACACGAACTAACAATAAAATTGTCTTCAGCTGTTCCACAAGGATGAGAAATCTACTAAGGGAGTATGTTTTATCTATGGTTATACATATCCTAAAATCTATACCTGTAATGAAAAAAAAAACATGGCTGAAACACCTGAACAACGGTGATAATGTGTGGGTAATAGTCCTCATTTTTGGTTTGATCTTTATTTTATTTTTATAAAATGTTTGAGTTGTTAAAAAATAAATTATTATGATTGAAGTCGAAATTTAAGATTGACACGAAAAGTAAGCATTTAAAAAAAATGTAATGTAACTCTGTTATACTACAGACAATAGACCATCCCTTGAACTAAACCAAGCGCAACTGCCGATAGAGGTCTATAATTGGTTCCTTAGTCTATGGTTATAAGCTAAGATTAAAACAAACCAAAAATATTTATACAGATTAAGGTCAAGTATTTACTTAATTGCTAAACAAACAATCTTGTTTGTTTAAAAAAAAATGTGAATTAAGAATTGTTGAGCCTTATGTTTGTGTTGTTGTTGTTGTTGTTTTTGGAAGAAACCAGTAGAAAAAGTCTCATTAAAACATCCACTGTTTATTTTGATTGTAGTTTTCTATTTTTTAGCGAATTTCCCTATAGGGAAGTAGCTATTACCGTAGGTGGCACGGTAAGACCTAGGCCCGGGACCAATTTACTTTTTCATTTTGATGTCCCCAGAGGCCAAAAACACCATTCTTTCAAATTTTTATATATGTATATATATAGATTTATATATATAAATATATAAATACGTCCGTGAACGCGATAACTTGAGTAATTTTTGTCCGATTTTGATGAAATTTGGTTCTAAGGTGTAAGTCAGGATAAACTTGGATGAGGTCGCGAACCAGCATGATCGGACCATGGGAACGGGGTTTTACGTGGGTTTTTATGGGGTAAAAAAATGGTTTTTCTAATTTTTGACCCTCAAAACACAAAATTTCCCAATTTCTCTCTAGACCTTTTTAAAGAGCTTAAAAAAACAAATAATTTAGTATATCAATGTGTTTTTGCACGGTTATTAGTAACGGAGAAGATCCAAAAAATTATAAATTTAAAATTCCAATGTTATTCTTATGGAGAATATTGTAAAATGTTGTAGTTTGCTTGTTTGTGGATATATTTTGATAAAACTTGCCAAATTATTTATTTTAAACTAAGCTATTAATATTTTACTAAAAACCTCCACAGTAGTTTCCTTGTAGCAGCAAACCTAGGTACTCGTTAAACCTAATGTTATTTTAATAGATTTAATTTAAAATCAATTCAGACAAATGGAAATTCGCTTAGTTGGCAGGTTTGCTGCGGCGGGGGTATTTCAAATACATTTGAAAATAGTTCAAAAATAGTTTCTGAAAATGATTTGTGTCTTAAACCAATGAAACAACCAATCGTAATTGCTGTGTTGAATTATTTTTTAGCTGAAAACGTTGATGAGTACCACTACAGCTTTGGTCAAAGAGAGCTCATGATAAGTATTCAATCGTTTGTGATCTCCACAGTCTTTGCCTTTATTGCAATGTTTCTTTTTAGGTAAGTATTTCCACAAAGTAGACTAAATCTTACTCTCTTAAAATAATATAATCCCAAACTAAAAGCAAGTTAAACAAGTTAAGAATTGTAGCCAGGGGGGACGGATGTAGATTGATGACCGAGGGGATTAGTGACATTGGTAGTAATGCGGGGGTAGCGGATTTTTATCTCCCTGGAATTTTACCCCCTGGGCAAACGTGACGTCACAAACCAGGGGGTAAAATTCCGGCCGCAAACTTTTGAGTTCCGCGACATCAGCTCGATGGATTAAACGCGGAATTAAACATATAATTTCACGGTTGTGAATTTAATCAGAACACATCAAATTATAAAAACCTAGAATGTACGGGCCGGATTTTTACCCCCGGAAATTTACCCCTGGAATTTTACCCCCTGGCCAGATATATAAATTAGTGAGAATGGTTACTTATCTTCATTCAGTTTTAATTTAATAGTAAACATAAGTAGCCTATCTTAATTTATTTGTAACATTAACTAACCGAACAGCAGGTTTTTAATTTTAATTTTGAGATTCGTGTATCAGGTTTCGATCTTTGAAGCCAACTGTTGTTAATATGATCGAAATAAAACAGCGAATTCTGTTTACTTAGTTGAGATTACAAAATAAATAAATAAAGATAGGCTACTAAATAATGAAATGTTTACAATTAATTAAAAACAGAAATAAGAAAATCAATCGTTCAATTTCTAAAATCGGCCAGGGGGTAAAATTCCGGGGGTTAAATTCGGGGGGTAAAAATCAGGGGGTAAAAATCCGGGGGTAAAAATCCGGCCCGTACATCTTCAGTTGTCTAAACGCTAGTTATATGGACAGGGGGTAAAATTCTGGTTTTTATCGCTAATCTAATTAATCACGCTCTGACTATTTTCATTAGACTTCCAAATCCGCAGGGGTAAAATTCCAGCCGCAAACAAACTTTCGATCACTCAGGTTACTACGTCATAGTGACGTCAGCTTTGCCCAGGGGGTAAAATTCCAGGGGGATAAAATTCTGGCGACCCATAATGCGATATGTATATTTATCAAAAATTCGTTTTAGTTGTCTGACTGTTGTGCTAGAGCCTGGAGGACCCTAGCATGTTGGAATTAGGAGCGTGCTATCTTCTGCTACCTTCATAAAATGACAATTTAATTAGAAACTCTGTTTGGGGACCAGAGGGCGGAGATCTTTACTCAGACCAGAAGCAGGCCAAGCCAGCTTGATTAGGCCTACTACGAAGGATGAAACTAACAAATTTAACTAGAACATTGAAATAAACCTACCCTTCCAAGCAAAATTATTAAATATACTGACAAGTCTGCTATATTGCAAGACGATAATAACAGGGGTCTGTTGCGTTTATTAACACATAACTGAAAATATCTGGACTCTAAATCATTTCCTGAATGATTTATTACTGATATTTCAATTTGGTGACTATTGCATGTCTAGGAAGAATTACCTCGTTAAATGAGATAGTTATAATTTTGGAATTTACATTTCTGGGAATGGGGCGAAAACTTTAAATTGTTAATCTAGCCTGTCATTCTTAATTTTACAACTACTTCATATGTAAGACTTATCCTGATGTAAGAGAGCCATGACGTTGCTACTTGTACAAATACCGGCGAGACACAAGACGGAGGAATTCTCTATTCACTAGCTCCTCGACCGTTTCTAAGAAAAAAGCAAGCGGCAGACCGAAAGTGGAACGCTGATAGGAAAGGCCGGCGATTTTGTTGTGTGGCACTATATAAAATATTGGCGCTAAGCATCACAGAATGTGTAATACTTACTTTACTTGTATATATTATTTTCTGCTGTTGAAAAATTAGGTTGTTAACTCAACTTATCATTCTATGAACCGTGCCTAGGGGAAGCCAAGGCAAACATAAATTCAATATATCAAATTGAATCAGATCAATATTTAATTCTGAAGATGATATTTATCAGGGCTCTGATATATTCAGAATCATAATCCATTTGTTGTCATTTGACAACATTATATTATTATAGACAACGTCAAAGAACACAAGAAGTACAATAATATGCAGTATAAAAGGAAAACTCCTAACTCGACATCTGTATCCAGAGAGACTCCATATCCTCTCAGTCAATTTGTCTTTGTCCGTTTTTCATTTTGTGTCCGTGTGTGTGCCCAATGGATGTATAAGGAAAAAATATTTTAATGCATTTGGTTTAAGCAAATTCGAATTTGATGGGAATCTGAATGGCATGGATTGGCGGGTATTGGCAGGTTTCTTAAGGGAAGCCTGGCAATACAGATGGGCAATAGTAGAGGAGTTTAATTTTTAAATTTATGATTCTCCTATTTTTGAAGTGCCAATGCAACTTGTGAACTTTCTTTACTTAAAAATCTAACTATTTGTTTTTCTATATTTTTTTCAATAAATTGAGCTCTATTGTTTTTTTGATTTAATTAAAAAATTGAACTGTATTATTTGTTGTTCAAGTAGCTTTTTGTTATTTTTCTCAGTTTTTATCGTGATATTTTGATTATCTATATATTTATATTAATTTTAAGAGAAAACTAATTGTAACTTTGTTCTTTCATGTGTATTCTGTTGCCAACCTGGCCGAGGGCCCTTCCGGCCAATGCCTAGAAGTGTTTTGTCTAGCAGATGCTCTGCGAAATATCTGTGAATGTAAAAACAAAAGCAACAATAAATCACTTATTCATTCATTCATATAAAAGGAAATGTACAATGTACTTGTCAGACTAACAAATATAACAGAGAATAAAACATAACAAATAACATTTAGTAACAATTAGTTAAAACTATGAAAATTTACAACAAATCACCAAAGCGTCACTGGACCAAAGCTCTTAAAGATCAAGTTAAACATTATATGCAAAAAATTCAAATGCATTGTCTAACTGACACTTAATAATTGGCAATATACATTTAAATTATATTTTTTCAGGAAAGGATATAAGCAAAGAGACTATCAATACAATAAACGTAGTACATTGTATATGCCAAGGAAACGATCGTCAATAACGGACAAGTATTGGTTTTCTGATAAACCAGCGTTTGTGGACTTGTCTACTTTCATAGCATACGATGAGAAGCCACCAAAACAACGCAAAGGTATGTAATATTATTTATAATATACGTTAAAATGGGTTTATAATTGTACCATATGAATTTATATTTATTCATATGGTACACATTGATGAGGGGCAAGCTGGTTTAGTGGTAGAGAATGGTTAGAGTTTTTTCTGGGTTCAAATCCTACCAACCGCCAATGGATTTGATCCAAGTGATAATGTTTCAACCCTCTAGGCCAAGCCTGAAATAACGCCTGAAATGGTTTCGGCTAGCTAGGATGGGAAGGCATAAAAATAGAAAATAGCCTGTGTTATTGAGTCAACTATGGGGATGGGGGATGATGAATTTTAAATTTATTAAAAGATTTATTGTTTTATTCAAAAGCTTTTTCTTTTGTGGAATTGCCAATAATCTCGGTGTATGCCATATTGTTAGGTAGTGTGTTTCCTATTTTAAGTATCAAAAAACACTCCTCAATTAATTAATAAGGAAGAAAACTATAACAAATGTTTTGGAAAACCTCCCTGATTACATCTACGTTCCCCCAAAATAAAATTGGTGTGTATACCACTGGTGAAAACAATAATTTGTTGCTGAAGTAAAATTAATTTCTGCTGCTTTTGTTATTGTTAGCTTAAATCTTGGAATTATTATCAAAATTATTGTCAAACTCACAATATGTGTGATTCAAATCTGTCCATATAACTTGTTGTATTTTATTTTTTTCTTCAAACATGCTTACAACTTCAGATTATAGTGTTTTGGAAGCAATATTTATTTTACAAACCTTAACCCTTTGAGTCAAATTTTTTCATGTTTTCGGCGAGTATAGGTCCTCATTTGAGCCGTAAAGATCGCCATTGGACCATAAAGATAAACTTTTTTGATTTTTTTGTCGCCATTTTTGAGCAGTCAGGAAAATGGCGGGCGGCAACCTATACTCGCCATTAAAACAAAATCTAAAATAAAAATAGTTGACCTTTGCGGTTGAATGGCGAGTATAGGTCGCCGCCGCCATTTTCTCTTCTCCTCGAATGGTCACATACTCACCAAAAAAGAAAAAAAAATCAACCTCAAAGGGTTAACGGGTTGATTCATTTAAAAAAAAAATAGCATAAGAGAATATTTTATATTTTTACTGCCACATTGATCCTGTTTTCCACCAGATATGACTATGTATGAATCATTCATCGCAGCCATCAGAAACTGTACTCATCACAAGACTCTTCGCCCTGTTCATTTAGCTACTGAAGGCTCGGAAATAAAAGTGAACAAAGGATGGTTGATAGCGGCATGGTTAGTTATTTATGTTTTTTTACTTGGATACTGCAAGTAGAATTTTGTTTATATTCAAACCAGAAGCTTGGTTTTATGTTAATTTGGTTAAAATAGAAGGCATCATTCTTCACTAAATGTTTGTCTCTTATTTTTGTATAACTAAAAACAAGCATTAGATTTTAAATAGATATATTAAATCGTAATGAATAGATAGCGAAATAACAAAAAATAAATTTAAGACAACACACTCTATTTTTACCTCATAAAACACCTTAAAATTTGTCATCAGTTGATATATTAAGGATGATTTTATTTAAAATCCATGGCTTTTCGGTGCCCTAATGTCTACAAATTCTGGTTTCAGTCCGGTCAGTGTTTTTTTTAGCTTGATAACTCGAGAAAGAAAAAATCCGATTTTTATGAAATTTGGTACTAACGTGTAAACCTACAATTATTCTAATGAGTTCGCAAACAAGCATGATTGGACTATAAGGGAAAAAAATTATTATTTTAGGGGGAAAATTTGGTTTTTCTTATTTTTAACCATAAAAACATAAAATTTAGCAACTTCTTTCCAAACCATTTGTTTGTATAGCTTATATAAAAAAAAAAAATATATTGAAGCATTATTATGCGCCTAATGGCTACGGGGAAAATTCCAAAAAAATTTGTAATTTAATATTTCAACTTTATCTTATAGAAAAAATTGTAAACTGTTAAAATTTGCTTGTTTATGAGCATATTTTCATCAAATTTGCAAGCATTCAAATGCAAAAAAAATTCATTTCATACTAAACTATTAACACTTTACAAAAAAAAAACACCTACCCTCCCTGTTGCAGCAAATCTAAGTACACGTTAAACTAAAGCTATTTAAATAGGGAATAAATGTGGTACTTTTTAGGAGATATTTTAGAGTAAATTCAATCAGGCAAATTGAAATTCGCTTAGTCTTCAGGTTTGCTGTGGTGGGGGTATTTTGTTTTTAAATCAGTTTCATTACAAAGATATTTTAACAAGCAGGGAGTTAACTAATCTTCCCTCCCCAATATACAGTGTATTTCTTCATTCATTCACTCAATAAAAGGATATCTTTAGGTAAACACCTAATCAACTAATATTCGGTAATTTATTTCAGGGTATTTTCAATTCTAGTGATTATTATATGTGCATATCTTGTTATGCTATACAGTCTTAAGTTTGGGAAAGTAAAAAGCTTAAAATGGTTAAGCAGCCTGGTGGCAGCACAAGCTCAAGATATTTTCATCTTTTCTCCGCTGAAAATACTGATACTTGCCTTATTATTATCAGCTGCATTTGAGGTGAGAGGATTTGTATGTTTGACAGTGACATTAGATTTATTTCTATATTGTGTAAGAATATGGTTCGAAAACGGTCATGGTACCATTTAATTAATTAGGCGTGCAAATTGTGTACAAGTTTAACGAATGTAATTTAAATATTAATGACAGGCCTCATTTTTAACCTAATAATTTATTTGTGTTAATCAAAACAAGGGTTGATTGATACATTGAATTTTACTTTTTAAAGGAAATAATCCATGAAGCATGTTTTAAAGTAGAAGCATATTTAAGGGTAAAATCACAGTTTAAAGAATTTTTTTATTTGTAAATAGTTTTACTTCACATTACTATAAAATATTGTTTAGCATACCTAATTCTACTGCCTTCTTGGTAGTTTGTTGTTGTACACTTTACCCTTTTAGCCTAAGTGTGCAGCAGGTTTTCAAATGAAGTATGTCTGTAAACCAAGTGAGATGAAATAAATTACTAGTGAAATCTGTGAACCAAGAACAAATTTTGACTAATATTTTATTGTTTTCTTCTTTAGAGAACAACTGACATTTCTGCGTTCAAACTTGATGTCAACAAGGCAGTTAAATGTGACCTCGTTGGAGATAAAAAATACTTGGATAATTTAATAGAGTACCGAACAAAGAGTATATACTACCCCATGACAGATGAAGTTAAAGCTGTAAGTAGATGGTGTTTAAAAAAAATTCAATAATTTTATTTTAAATCCTATACTCTAATACGAGCAATGTTTGCTTGTATGTATGTATGCTTGCTTGCACAAAGATCTCGAAAACGGTTCCGACGATTTTCTTCAAATGTTGTAAATAGTTTAATTCTAGCCTAAAAACGAGTTTACTGCAGTTAGAACTGCCAACAAAAATCGAATTACGTAGAAAAATGAAACTGAAAATCACATTTTTTTAACATTAGTCTTATGGGTTGCTAGGTAACCTTGTTGGCTGAATTAAATAACAAGGAAAAAGTAAACAAAAGACTTGAAGTTGTAGCATGTGTTCATAATAAGCCAACTACCCACAGTATACTAGCAAATTACAAATACAGTACAAAAGGAAAAACATCATTTAGCAAAGATTATACTGAAGATTACTCGATACATTGTAGTCAAGGGTAGCAGTGAGAAGTCTGGGATCTGTTTATGACGATTGGATAAGGGTATGGGCAATCCTAAAATGCTATGGGAAGGGAGGGAAACAGGTCCGTGATGTAGGAAGTGGTGAAGGGAGTAGTCAAGGCGAGCTGTCCGGAGTGTGGGAACTGTTTATGATGATTGGATAAGGGTATGGGCAATCCTAAAATGCTATGGGAAGGGAGGGAAACAGGTCCGTGACGTAGGAAGTGGTGAAGGAAGTAGTCAAGGCGAGCTGTCCGGAGTGTGGGAACTGTTTATGACGATTAGATTAAGGTTTCTACAATCCTAAAATGCTATGGGAAGGGAGGGAAACAGGTCCGTGACGTAGGAAGTGGTGAAGGAAGTAGTCAAGGCGAGCTGTCCGGAGTGTGGGAACTGTTTATGACGATTAGATTAAGGTTTCTACAATCCTAAAATGCTATGGGAAGGGAGGGAAACAGGTCCGTGACGTAGGAAGTGGTGAAGGAAGTAGTCAAGGCGAGCTGTCCGGAGTGTGGGAACTGTTTATGACGATTAGATTAAGGTTTCTACAATCCTAAAATGCTATGGGAAGGGAGGAAAACAGGTCCGCGACGTAGGAAGTGGTGAAGGAAGTAGTCAAGGCGAGCTGTCCGGAGTGTGGGAACTGTTTATGACGATTAGATAAGGGTATGGGCAATCCTAAAATGCTATGGGAAGGGAGGGAAACAGGTCCGTGACGTAGGAAGTGGTGAAGGAAGTAGTCAAGGCGAGTAGTCCGGAGCGTGGGAACTGTTCATGACGATTAGATAAGGGTATGGGCAATCCTAAATAGCTATGGGAAGGGAGGGAAACAGGTCCGTGACAAAGGAAGGTGTTAAGGAAGTAGTCAAGGCGAGCTGTCCGGAGTGTGGGAACTGTTTATGATGATTGGATAAGGGTATGGGCAATCCTAAAATGCTATGGGAAGGGAGGGAAACAGGTCCGTGACGTAGGAAGTGATGAAGGAAGTAGTAAAGGCGAGCAGTCCGGAGTGTGGGGACTGTTTATTACGATAAGATCAGGTTATCTGCAATCCTAAAATGCTATGGGAAGGGAGGGAAACAGGTCCGCGACGTAGGAAGTGGTGAAGGAAGTAGTCAAGGCGAGTAGTCCGGAGTGTGGGAACTGTTAATGACGATTAGATAAAGGTATGGGCAATCCTAAAATGCTATGGGAAGAGAGGGAAACAGGTCCGTGACGTAGGAAGTGGTGAAGGAAGTAGTCAAGGCGAGCTGTCCGGAGTGTGGGAACTGTTTATGACGATTAGATTACGGTTTCTACAATCCTAAAATGTAATGGGAAGGGAGGAAAACAGGTCCGCGACGTAGGAAGTGGTGAAGGAAGTAGTCCGGAGCGTGGGAACTGTTTATGACGATTAGATAAGGGTATGGGCAATCCTAAAATGCTATGGGAAGGGAGGGAAACAGGTCCGTGACGAAGGAAGTGGTGAAGGAAGTAATCAAGGTGAGCTGTCTGGAGCGTGGGAACTGTTTATGATGATTGAATTAAGGTATTTGCAATCCAAAAATGCTATGGAAAGGGAGGAAAACAGGTCCGCGATGTAGGGAGTGGTGAAGGAAGTAGTCAAGGCGAGTAGTCCGGAGTGTGGGAACTGTTTATGACGATTAGATTAAGGTTTCTACAATCCAAAAATGCTATGGGAAGGGAGGAAAACAGGTCCGCGACGTAGGAAGTGGTGAAGGATGTAGTCAAAGGCGAGCTGTCCGGAGTGTGGGAACTGTTTATGACGATTAGATTAAGGTATCTATAATCCTAAAATGCTATGGGAAGGGAGGAAAACAGGTCCGCGACGTAGGAAGTGGCGAAGGAAGTAGTCAAGGCGAGCTGTCCGTAGTGTGGGAACTGTTTATGACGATTAGATTAAGGTATCTGCAATTCTGAAATGCTATGGGAAGGGAGGGAAACAGGTCCATGACGTAGGAAATGGTGTAGGACGTAGTAAAGGCGAGCCGTGTGGAGTTTGGGAATGGATCTATGTGTCTCCAATACAGTACTAAGACTGCTTTTAGAGTGGACTAATGATTTTCCCCGAGCAAAGCTCGGTCCCCAGGTACTTACTATATATACAGGTAAGCACCATTAATTAAAATCAAACATAACTTAAATTGGTTGGTACAAAATATGAAAAGATTATAATACAGTACATTAGTGTAAAGAAAAATACAATTGAAGCAACTTAATGCATACCGGTAGTATCTTCTGGGGTTTAATTTTAGAATATGTGATTGTCAACTGAATCTTCTCCTTGAAATCATTATTGATTTGTTTCCTTTAACACCTATCATCTTTATGTGAGCTCTTTGGGGAACATTAGGATATGAACAACCCCTCAATGGTACTAATATTTAGAACAAAAAATACAGGGACAGAAATCCTTAATTTTTACTGTGAAAGTAAAAGCTTGGATCAAGTTAGTAAAAGCCTAGTTACGTATGTTTTGTTTCGGAAGCTGTAAAAAATTTAATGCAAATGAACCCAAGACAATTAATTTTTTTAGAAAAAAAGAAGAAAGACCATGAGGAAAATGAAGTGGAGAATCATTTTAGATTTTCTCGCCGTGCTGACGTTTATATTGATTCTGTGCTACATTATGAAAATTCTGTGGAGCGGAGCGCACTTCCATCCTAACTCTCATGCTGCTGAGATGATGATGACCAAATATAACGGCCGATTTGTCGCACTGCAGGATGTTTACAATCGGACACAGTAAGTAAAATGGTGTTAGTTGAAAATTACGGGAAATTTTCACTCAAGTTTCTTTCATTGTTGATTTGAAATCCTGTGTTTTGTGTGTTATTTTATGTATATTTAATCTATGTTGATCCATATTCATTCAGATGCTAAAATATCTTGGAGTTTGGAGGTGCATCAGTTTTTTTTTTTTTTTTTTTTACTAACATTTTATTTAGGAAAACTAATAAATAATGAAAATTAAGGGATAAAAGTAAATCTATGATATGATCCAACTCTTTCAATAATATAAAAAAAAAATTATTCAATTGTTAATACGACCTTACGGCCAATAATTTACATTTTAATTGTATGTCCACAAATAGCACTTTTAGGAAAAAGAGTAGGTCTTAAACTGTTTAGGTGCTTCCGTGGAAATTTATCGATCTTGAACTGTTTTTATTTCTGTAACGAGCAGTTTACAACAAACTCCCCAACTCCTTTGACAGGTATATGTAAGGCTGAATTTTCGCCTGCTTTCTTTTTCCAGTAAATGTTCAAAATAGTGTGTTTCGGTAATTTCCACGGACATTTTCTCTCCATGAAGGGTAAAACACTGTTTTGTTTTAAGAGGGTATTAATTAAAATACTTTAGGGCTTAATACATTATTTTTTTTACAGATTCTTTACCTACCTACAGAACACTTTTGTGCGGTCCTTGTTTGTTTTTAGATGGTTTAATGATTTAAATTTCCAAACACTAAGTCCTTCAGGTATAGTGCACAATTTTTTTTATTCATGTTTATTAATTTTTGACGTAAGTGTTTCAACTGAGAAAGCCTATGAGCTCTTTTTGTTTAACATTGAATTAAATTTGTTTTACGATAGAATACAAATTGTATTCCTTTATTCAATCCTTTTTGACAATGAATACAAGTTGAACTGTATTTCATTATATAAGAGAATGAAACACACATATAGAAGGTAATTTTTTCACAAGTTCTCCTACCACAAAATACACTTTGTTAAAGTAAATAGTACAAGCAGACTAAATAATCTTATTAGCATTAAAAAAACTTTTTTGCTTTGTACTTCATTGTTATTGTTAGGTAAACGAGTTTTCCTTAAAATGAAACATAATAAATATTTAAAATCTTTGGGTGCTGCATCAAAATAATCTACTCCCAGAAATGAAGTGAACAACTCTTGATGGAAACCTTAAAAAAAAACAGCCATGCTGTTCTTCATATGACTGTTATTATAACTACTGTATTAGTCAGTGTTAACTGTCAAAAGCTTAATGGAAACTATCATTCATTGAACAGAACACTTGTATGGATAATAAAACAAACTAAATTTCACTTTATTTGATGTTATGTACTACAGACGCTCCTGAAAGAAAAGACTGGACAAAGGATTTTGTATCCAAAATGGTGGGAGCTCCACGACTAAGGCAGTTACGAATTGTTGCCAGTAAGTTAAATTATATTGCTTGGTTGCTAGATAATTTATTTAACAGTCCCATAACAAAAATAATAAAAAGTATTCACTCTGTAATTTTCAGATTGTATCTCAACTAAGATAAGCTACCTCAGCAGGTATTGGTATTTCAAAATTGGATCAGTTAGGGAATCATCGCACACTTGTGCTTCTTTAAAAAATGTACTTAACAGAAAGCAAATCGAGTGGTTGTATTTTTTAGAGTAGAGAAATCGTTTACTGTATGTCTCTCTTAGTTTCAGATTCAGTCACATGAAACGGAAGCCAGCCCCAACTTGGATTTCTAGGAGATACACCATTGATTATAGGTTTGAGAAAGCCCAAACCTTGTACCAACTGCAAGCTACCTACTTCTGATATTGGCCATTACATGTTTCTGCTGATAGAAGTGTGTAGCTTTTTGATGGTTTGAAACTGTCCAGCTGTCCCAGATCATTGGGCTTTCAATAAATTATCCTGACTAATGAAACATCTGGTCTTAGTCAGTAACAAAACTACACAAGCCATCTCACTTCATTCTACACTCATCCTTCGTTCATATTTGGTTTAAAATACACACCTAGGTGGAGTCCGATCTCAAATGATAATGATGAGCATATCCTAGACGTTTCTTAGGTCGTATTGACACTCCAATAGCAGACGATTACTTTGCAACAGTGGTTATCAGGACTTGAGTCGACATTTAACTGCAATGTTTGATGTAATTCTTTGCATCATTGTTGAGTTAATTTACAAAAATATTGACTCTAGTTGAATTGTCTGCCAGGTTCCTGCGCAGTACATCACGTTATGGTAGTCGCTGTGCAGGATTGCATCCGACCGTGGAGTGAGGGCTACATGGACACTGACACTTACGGTGTCCAATGGAAGAAGGCGGACTTTGACGACGAGATTGCGTATGCTTGGGGTTACCGGACCTACTGGATGTATCAGGAGCCCAAGAACACCTCTGTGTTTCCATTATCTGGTATGGTCACTTTGACGTTTGCTAACCTAACCGATAAAAGCTAGGCCTACAATTTTTCAAATTTGAAATTTGTTTAAAGTAGTTTGTATTACTGAAAGGAAATTTTGGAAGGCTTGTGTCAAAGAATCAATCCATGGCTGTACAGACTGTACAGTTTTCACGTTGTATATTCGCTTATTCCTTGGCTGAGTGTCAATTTGATTTGTAATGAAATAGATTACCTACATCTTTTATATGACTTTAAATACTACTCTAGGTTGAAACTGGCGAGTCTAGTACTTGTCAGTAAATAATTATGAGGATAGAAAGAACTATGGTTCAAGCACAGTGATGTGTCAAAATAGTGGTTAATGTTTTAGTCAGTTTTTTGGTATAGGTAGTTCTTGAAACTGTTAACAGTAAAAAAACGTTTTCTAAGAATGTGAATGAGATTCATTATCACAAATATAATCACGTGCATACTTACATATCAAGTGGATTATGTCATGGGTTGGTCATATTTCGATTTAACAGCATCATACCACAATGATTAGCACATCCGTTTGGTTGCCACTACCTTGATTGAAAAAATTCTATAATCCTTCAAATGTGATTTCAAAATTCAATTTTATTTTTGTATACGTATGTTTTCCAGTGAAAAATGTTTGTTTGGTTGAAAAATGCACACTTTTGTTGAGTCAATTTACATTTACTGGACAAAATGCTGTAGTTTTACAAATTATAAACAAAATCCAAGAACGTCTTAAGATTACTTAGTAGTTTAAAATTATTTCACAATTAAATCAAAGCTTTTGAGTACCATATTTAAACTGTTCATTATCTACGTTGCCTATATCTTCACACATACAATTCCAATACTTTGAGAGTTGCTGACTTAAAAAAAATATATTTAATAATAAATAATAAATATTTTTATAGGGAAATCGGGAGTTGTCTATCCCTCCGGAGGGTACATTCTACCTCTTGCCGTCAAGAGAGATCAGAGCAAATCGTACGCAATCCAAGTGGAGCAGGAACATTGGGTCGATCATCGTACAAGAGCCGTGTTTCTTGAGCTGACGCTGTACAATGTAAACAACAACTTGTTCAGTCAAGTTACGGCGATCATAGAACACATGACCTCTGGGCTCTTCATGACGCTTGCGAACGTAAGTGACAGTGTAATATTTTTTAGCTGTAGCCCGAAATTGTTTTTTTACATTACTTCAGGCTGGACCTAGAGGTTGCGGCATTTTTTACTTAGATAATATCCATTGATGACTGATGGGATTTGAACCTGGGAGCTCGGGGACCGAAGTCTCGAACTCTTCCACTTGACCAGCTTGCTCACACAGTGGAATATTAAGAATGTTTTGTGTTTTCACGCCAATGATATTCATAAGATTTTTGTAATAGAACTGCAAAAACTCTGGTTGTTTTACTACCTACTTTACTTGAATTTAGTTAGATATCATCATTGATTAGCCAATGAGGCATCAGAAACCAGAATTGACTACACTTAGGATCGAACCAACAACCTTTAGATTTAAAGGCGAGTATTAACCACTTGGCTACTCAGACGATTCTAAGACAGACTAATGTGATGCTTGGTGATCAAAAGGGGTGAAAAGAAAACAATTGCGGGTAAAAAATTTAAATGGATATATCACTAGTAGTGTTACCGATGCTTTGTAATGGATTCAAGAGCCATTCAAAGCTATTGTTCAAAACAGCTACCCTATCACCTCTGATTATAGAACAATGTATATTCTCTATTACCATAATTCCGTTCAAATTTTGGAAAACATAGGTTTTACAAATTTATATTTTGTTTCATTATGAAAGTTTACCATCATTAGGCTATTTGCACACACACCGGATTTTTACCGGCGAAACAATCAGTTAATTTGTTGTTCAAGGACAAGACCAGATTTTTACTAATTACCCAATTAATTATTAATTATTTAATTTAATTTATTAATTTAGGCCTAATTTATTAATTTATTTAGTAATTAGATTATACTAATGAATCCTAAAAGAGTTGTTGCTATGTGGCTATTGTATCGACGTATTAAACGCCATAGGATTTAACCATTGACTATTTTATTGTACTATGTATAACCATGACTATATTGTACGTTCTGGATTCATCCAATTAACCAAAGCAGAGAAAAAACAGGAACATTCCAGACTCCACACACTTTTTGAAGAACTAAGGCTTGATAGCAGTAAAATTTTCAACTATTTCAGAATGTCAATAGCATCCTTATTTATAAAGTCACCCATTTTAAACATTATAAAAACGCACTACCAAAACTAATTTAAATTTTCAGAAGAGCAGTCGCCTTAAATGGAGGATGGTGTAGCAAGAACTGCCGATACGATTGGTAAAAAATCAGTGCGCGTGCAAGCTTGTATTAAGTTACGTATGTCACTGCGTCGCCGGCATATCCCCGGCACTGGCGGTATGCAGTGGCAGTGGCCGGCAGCTCAATGGCATTTTACCGGCGCTGATCAACGGTCGGCGTGTTAGCAACGTCTCGTTCCCGCCTGTGGTTCACTATTGGCATTTGGACGACCGGTAAAAAATCGGTCGTCCATTATCGGTGTGTGTGCAACGAGCCTTAGGCCATCACAGATGGCATAGTAATAACATTAATAATAATCATAGTATATTGGTGGTAACCCTTTTTTAAGACAGCTGTTGATGGCAACCTTAGGGACATAGAGAGAATCTTTAACATAATTTTTTACAAATTTTTAGATTTATGTTTATATACAGAGCCATAATTCATTGAAATGTAAAGAAGTTGTACCTGTCATACTTACTATACAAGTAAATAATTGTTTTGTATTATTTAGAAGTAGAGATTTACTAAAAATGTTTTTTATTACTTCCAGGTGGATTCGGTACACACAAAAGAAGATTTCAGTGTTTGGAACTTAATTTACATAGTCTTCATTGCTGCTTTGGCCTTACGAATCGCTTACAAAATGAACAGAAATGGATTGTTCAATTTTTTCAGGAATTTTCTAAACATTTATGAAGTACTAGTTGTGGCTGTTGGAGTGCTAAGTGTAATATTTTATCTAATTCATACGAAAGTTTCTACTATTTATGTAGAGGAATTCTACAGGGAAGGGCTAGATTTGTTCTTCAATTTCGAAGATATGATCAAGTATTTTCGGTACACTAAGGCACTTTTGTGGATACTTTTCTGTTTGTTGGTGTTTCGGTTGTTTGTGAGCTGGCATTTTGGTGAGAACTACTTCTACTATTACCACACGTTTGTGTTTTCTTTACAATGGATTGTCATTTTGTTGATTTTCTTGTTGTATTACTTTTATTTAGTCTGGAGAATGATTGGTTACTCCATTGACGGAAAAGTTTTTTACAACAGCCGTGTGAATATTCTACACTACAAAATGTACAACTGTATATACAAACGAGATTTCCACGATCGAACAAAACTGATCGCCTTTGTACTATGTGTAATGGCGTTATTTTTTAAAGTAATTTTCTTTGTGATGTTCACCCACTACTTCCAAATAGGAAAACGGAAACGATTACTTCCAATGGAATATTTCAACTTTTTCACTTTTTTTGCTGAAGAATTTGGACGATGTTTCGGGAAGAAAAAAGAAGAGGAATTTGCAACTGATAGACAAATACATAGGAAGAGAGATGTTAAAAGTTCAAAGAGGTCTACCATATATTAATTTTTCCACCCCATAGTTCTGGTGGTATATTTATGCAACCTTTATCATTTTTGTATTATAATAGCTAAAATTTAAAATAAAATACTTCTATCCATAGTTTTTAATGTATATAGAAAATGGGTTAGCTGTATTTAAGGTAATCCTCAATTCAAGTTTAATTGAATATAAAGAAAACCTAATAGAATTCAAATTTCAGCTTTAACTGACTAAACCTTGAGTCTAGGCCTGTGTTATAAACACTTATTTAAAAACAAAAAACTAAGGCTCTCTAAAGTCTTTACTGTCCACCCCTACATATCAGACACCCACTTTTTAGTGGGATTTTTATCACTCCCCCCTGATAAAACCTGTTAACAATTGACAGGTGTGTGTGTGTGTGTGTGTGTGTGCAGAAAGGGGTTTGAATATGTAGAAAATGTGCATAAGTATGGTATAGGTATAGGATAATTGTAGAAGGATGTTGGCAAAACGAGGCCCGCAGTGGGAATCGTCATTAGTTCCAAGGTAGTGATTATAAATTTTAGGAATCTGGTGATTGGCTGATTGACGTGATTAAGGCTACAAAGGTTTACGTCATTCTGCTCGTTCTGCTCGTCGTTGTCGAACTGCTTAGTACTGCGGGGGCGTTGTAGAACCCCGAGCCCCTCATACTCAACCATCATGGGGTTCCCGAGCACCTGGCTGTTTAACAATCTGGCTGTATAAACCAACCTACTATTAAAATATCTCCAATGTTATAATATCTAGTCAATGTTAAATCAAACTCAGATAAATTAAAGGCCATTCAGTTACTAATAGAAAATCATCCACCTTCCAAATTAACATTTAAATTTAGAAATGTTTCAATTGACGAGTTAAGAAAAGTTGTTACATCTCTCGGTAACACTAAGTCCTCAGGTTGGGATGAAATTCCTCTTTTTGTCATTAAAAGAGTTTTTAAATTTATAGAACATCCATTATGCCAAATAGTAAATCAGTCCCTTGAGGAGGGGGTTTTTCTGATAAGCTTAAGTTTGCTGAGATTAAACCCCTGTTCAAAGAGGGCGATGTCAACGATCCCTCTAACTACCGCCCCATTGCCCTTCTGCCTTGTTTTTCAAAAATTTTTTAAAAAATTCTAAAGATTCAACTAGGTAACAGAATATTTAGAAAGCAATAATTTAATAAATCCTTCGCAGTTTGGTTTCCGCCCAGAACTTGGTACTGAGAAATCCATAACAAAAATGATTAACTGTATTGCCTTGGATGGATCGCAGAAGACTGTGGGTGTGCTATGTGACCTATCCAAGGCTTTTGACTGTGTGAATCATAAGATACTCATAGAAAAATTAAGTATGCATGGAATAAAAAATACTGAATTAAAATGGTTCATATCATATTTAAAAAACCAAAATCAAAGACTTATTGTACAAAAAATGCAGAGAAATTATAAATCAGAGTGGAACATTAACCCCAATGGAGTTTCTCAGGGCTCCATTATTGGCCCTTGTTTATTTATTATATATGTTTATGATCTATGCAATGCTACTAAGATGTCTACCTTTCAATACACAGATGATACCGCTTTAATTTGCACAGGACAAAACAACGAGTTCATGCAAGCCTCAATAACTCAGGAATTTCAACTCCTCGGGGACTGGTTTGCAGTAAATGGCCTGTCCATGAATGTGGCAAAAACTCAACTAATTCAGTTTTCTGCATCCAATATTAACCAAGAAATAATTGTAAATACGAACTTATATAGGCCTAACTATAATTCATTCACAACAGTTAAAATTATTTGGGAATAGAAATCGATTCACAACTAAATTGGCAAAAACACATTAAAAACCTATCAAAAAGACTACGCTCAGCAACATTTGTTCTCACAATAATTCGGGATACTACTAATCTAGAAACACAGTAGTACAGTAGAACCTCTTTAATCCGAACTAATTGGGACCGGGGGTAGTTCGGACTATTGAATAGTTCGGATTACAGAACATGTTGATTTTTACACAACAATAGCTAGGAAAAGTGAAAAATGCTTTATAAAGTAAAATACAGTGTTTATTTAATACAGTAGTAATCATAGGCAATAAAAAGTACTGTACATTACAATTGAAATAATTACGGTGCGTATATCAAATACAGTATACAATAAAGAACTACTGTACTGTGTATAGAGTACAGCAATGAGGCGCTCGGATTACAGGGGTTCGGATTAAAGAGGTTCTACTGTATATCACACATATTTTTCATCGATTATGAATTATGGAATTACTGTATGGGGCTCATCAAGCCAGTCCAAAAAATATTTATTCTCCAATAAAGAGCTGTAAGATTAATGGCCAGAGTCCCCTGTAGAATACATTGTAAAGATTTATTTATTCATTTTAAAATTTTAACCTTTTTTTAGCTCTTATATTTACAAATTGGCATTAATGGTTAAAAGTGATTTCGACACATTCATGGACTGTCAACAATCTCATCCACATAACACAAGAATCAAAAATATTATATAAACCAGTTCAACTTAGGCTTAAAATCTTTCATTTATCCCCTCAGTATATGGGGCCAAAAATTTACTATAAATTACCTGCTGGGATTAAAAACATTGCCTCATTCTCTAAATTTAAACTATCTTTAAAATATTTCCTTTTGGAGAGGGCAGTTTAATGTTAGAAGAATATCTGGAAGATGAGTACCTATATTTGAAAGATATTACATCTCCCATAGGTGTGTAGCTTTATTATTTGCTTTATTTCTTTTGTAAGCTATTTTATTATTTAGACTTTGTGACAAATCACCTGTCAAGAGAATTGATGTAATGTGATGATGTTTAATAAATAAATAAAGAGGCTTCAGCTGGTTCTTCTTTATAGTGACTGTGTTGATTTTCGCTCTGTGAATAATTAACTTTTTTACGTATTTTTGAGCTCGAGCTCTCTTTAAAGTCGTTAAAAGTTTAATTCTTTGTTTGTTCTTTGTAGTTGTTTCATAGTATCGTGAAAATTGTTAAATTAAACCATAAAACTGTGTTCAAACATAAATCTAATCTACAAGCTACTCCTGTTACAAGAATGTCAACATCTAATGTAAACAAAGCTAAGTATAATAATGTACAACAAACAAAAAAAGTTCCTTGCTATGCCTTTTGATGAAAATATAAGTGATCCTGATGATGATTTTGTCTTTCCAAAACGTAAACTTACCTTTTCTTCCTCTGGATCTCAACTGAAATGATATGTTTTAGATTCAAGTGAACTATGTAAAGGCAATAAGTTTCCAATTCTATCTGAACATACTTATAGTTCTAATGGTAATGGTAATGAATTGGTTCAATCACACGAGATGGATGATTCTACTTTGGAAAATCAAGTAAATGACCCTAAGTTAAAAATCCCTCCTATAGCTACATGACGTGAACAACCACCAAGAAATAATAAAAGATGTCCGAAATATGGTAAAAGCAACTTTTTCAACTCAAGTTAGAGGGCAGTCCCTTAAAGTGAACTTGTCTAACATAGAAGACTTTAGAAATTTGACAGTTTTTTATGATTCTTCCAACATCAAATATCATAATTTTCAAACCCTACATGACAAAAAACTAGAAGCGATTGTCAGAAACGTCCCTACATCATTATCTGAGAATGAAATTAAAACTGAGCTAACAGATCAAAACTATCCTGTCATTAGAGTCACTAGATTACTCAACAAAAACCAACTTCCACTCCCTCTTTGTGCAGTAGACTTAGAAAACAACGACGACGGCAAAGCTATCTTTAATTTAACCACAATCTGTTTTGCAGTTGTAAGTGTCAAAATGAAAAGGAATCTAGGCAAATTTCCCAATGCACTCGATGTCAACGCTATGGACACACAAAGAACTTTTGTAAGCTGGACCCAAGGTGCGTGCGGTGCACTGGTCAACATCACTACTCTGAATGTCCGAAACATTAAACTGCAGCTCCTCAATGTGTTAATTGTGGTGAAAGCCACACAGCTAACTACAGAGGTTGTCAAGTATATCAGAAAATAACCAATAAAGATCTCAATCGGGGTAATCCTCACAATCACCCTCAAAACGCTACTGAGAAAAAAGAAAATACTCCTTCCCCCCTGATTTGAGTTCTGCTACACATTTTCCTCGAATTCATTCAAACTTTTCGCCTCAGGAACCTTCTACATCACGAGTTTCATTTGCTAAAGTTGCTGCTACGAGCCACCGCAACACGAATAATTCATTCTCACAAGAACAATCTGATGATGCTCCTGATACGTCTGTGTTTCAAAACTTTGAACAAATAATCCTAGATGTGGTGAAATCGTTCATTCCTACTCTCAAAAAGATAATAAGTAATGTGATAAGCTCTTTTCTCTCAAATGGATCAGATCAATTATTTTCAAATAAAAAAATTAACCCTCCTTAACTAAAATGCCAAAGGGCTTAGAGATAAACGTGCTACTTTTATCGCGTTTATGGTTAAACATTGCATTGATATTGCATGTATTACTGAGACACACCTAACCAATGTGGAAAGTTTTAAAATTAATGGGTATTCTATATACAGGGAAGATAGGCCTAATCCAAAAGCTTCAGGTGGCGTTGCAATTTTTGTGCGAAGAACTTTGGACCTTCATAATATATTTTTACCTCGTTTATCTTCGGTAGAAGCTGTTGGTGTAAAAATTAATTTAAGTCATGGTGCAGACTTTCGCTTAGTTTCTGTCTACAAACCCCCGAACAAACGGCTCCACAATAATGACTTGCAGGTGCTGTTTGCAGAAAATTGTTCGACTGTTGTTATAAATTGTAAACATCAGATATGGGGTTGCAGAACCACAAATCCAAATGGAAACTGTTTGTTACGACTCACAAATAACTCAAACGTAATGATTGATGCGCCACAAGAACCAACACTTTTTCCATTGCAAACCTAATTATCAGCCAGATATACTTGATTTAGTTCTGCACAAGAACTTTACAGCTCCAATCATTCAAAATGTTGTACCCGAGCTGGACTCTGACCATTCTCCCGTTATAATAACCTTCTTCACGCAACCTCAATTCAGTTGTGCACCTCAACGATTAATTATTGGAAAAATAAATTGGG